TATTACAATTAAAATTGTTTTGGCAAAAGAAGTATAATTTTAAAGCAAATTGAAAAGCACAAGGACGTCTATTCTTTATTTCTATTTAGATTCTTTGAAGATTTTATAATTGAAATGGTTTGTTTGATTATTAGAATCTTTATTACAGTTTTAGAAGTAATAAAATACATAGATTCTGAAAATTTTAAAAATAGTCTGTACCAGAATAGAGCCATAATAAATTAGTATGGGATATTTCAGTGCCACAGTTAATAGCTTGACCTTCAATATGACCGCATATTTCTCCTTGGATAGTTGTCTTTGCAGTATTTTGTAGTGTGTTTATTATTTGTGAGGTCTGAACAATTGTGTTGATGCGACATGGTTGTTATAGAGACAATTATTCATTTATTTCCTGTCTGGGATAAATGTATACACACAGTGTTGAACGTGGGATATATCAATAAAGACGAATGGAGTGAGCTAAAGAAAGGAAAATATCTATCGAAAATGTATACGTCTAACATACGAGCAAAATCATTTTCATTTTCCTTTGGATTTAACGTTTCCAAGATACAAAAGTCAATAACATTAAAAATGTTATGAACTGGATAGCAGAGCAAAATAGGTGTTCTGAAAACGGCATTCAAACTTTGACTTATACTCCTGGTCTCTGGAGCTGTTCGAAGTGAACCTTGATTCCATTCTTGAATAGCTATATCAATCAATTAGCTTACATGCAAAGCCATTCGTCACGAAAGCATCAAGAAAAACTGTCAGCTTGAATTTTATACAGTCAAATTCTGGTTTGAAATGCTGCAACTGCCATCAATGATAGATCCTACCACATAATTATCGAGAATTTTAGCTCATGAATACTCCGTCTAGCGAAGCTACAACGATTATTGGCAGAAATTACTTTCAATATATATTACACGAATACTCTTTCAAATAAAATAATAATATAAATTATAAATTCTGGACAATATCTAATGTTTTTGTCTACGATGCTTTGGTCTTCTAATACCTGCTGCTAATCACAAACAGAACAAAACTCAATGACTTTGTAATTGAATTAGCTCTATACGCTTAGAAAGATAAGAAACTGTAATATAGCTATATAACTACTAACTGCTCAGGTAGTTCAAGTACCAGTTCTGGTTAACTACCTCGATCGATTGATAAAAAAATCTAATGCAACTAAATAGGTCTATTTCAAATAATGTCTACTAAAAGTTAGTTCAAGCCTAGAACAAGTTACTAGAACGACTAAACTATCTAGCAATGTACTATGGCTATCAGAAGAATAAATCATAAACTCGATAATTGATAATCATTGATATTTTAATGATTTTTTAGACATATTAAAACTCTTGATTAGATTGGTCATAGAACACGTTTAGATTTCTGTTTAATCTGATAAATCTGTTCTAATTCGATCTTTCAAATTGTAGTCAAATTGTTATAACAGATCTCTTGTTATAAATTAAATACAACTCGGTAAGATGTGACATATGAAATTTGACATCCCCTCCTGTTTAGAGATTCTAGTAGAAATATAAAATAGAAACTAAAAATTCAATTGTTTGTCTCTCTATAAACTTTAAAAAAATTTGTTTTTAAATTTCAATACAATCAAAATTCCTTTCTATCTATTAAAACCGTTAGCTTTTTTCTATTTTTCGATATAAACTCTAATTTTAGAGATATAAATTTTTGTAAATATTTTTCTTTCGAAGAAACCGAACTCTTCAATAACATTCGTTTTCTATAGAACCCAACCTATTTCCTTTCATAAACGGACACATAAATTCGAATAGTGACCATTCTCTGCGTATACTTAGTAGATGTCTTCCACTGGTTTTGCGCGAAGGAAATGGAAAATGCTAATCCAGATCCATCCAATGGCGCCGACTGTCGTAAAATCACCACGTCCTTTACACATTTCCCATGCTTAGTTCGTCCACACACACACGTAGTAGCCACGTGGAATGACGACAACCGGCTCACGTTCTCATAGGTAGTTCTTATAGGTGCTCATGTGCACACATGGTCGATGGCTCCACCACCGCCATGATCCTTCCGCCATTGGTGCGTACTCGGTTATTTTCAGGTGCCACCCACTGCACGCACACACACTGTACCTTCGTTCGTTCGTTTTTATAAAAAAAATTAGTAGACGTGGCCCCAACGTCACGTGCAATGACTTTATCAATCTACACACACAACTAACTTCGCGGTAATGGTTTTTATGGCATTCATAAGCGCATTTTGTGGTTAACTTTATCACTAATCACCATTTAAAAAATCGACGAAGAGAGAAACAATTTTTTATTCCACCTGCTATTACAATTATAACTCCTTTTTTACGGTATCAAGCTGATGTCAACTTACTGATAAAGAAGGACACGCTAATTGTTAAGATCTCTCACCTGATTATCGTGGCACTTTATAAAACGTATACGACCGATTTAAATTTATGGGAGTACTTCGTTTTGGTAACCGGAAATGGTTGGTGGTCGCGAAGACAACACTCAAAGAAGCCCCGCGACCATACTAAGACGTAGTAAAGCCAACGGGCCCCAAACCAGTAACCGAACACATTCACACACACACGTGCTCAAGTAGAAGGCAATAATTAATGGTCGCGGACGGTTTCGGCGCGGTACAGGTGCACCACGTCCTGCTGGACCGTTGTTGTCCGCCCCGTAGATTAATGACGTCCCACGACGGGACCATGTACACTCTTCTTACCTTTGCGACCGGTGTTATCGGTTGAACTACAGATTACATTACCAAAATTAGTTTAAAGTAAACTACTAAATAGTCAAAAACTATTTTTTTAACAGTGTAAAAAGTTAAATTTAAATTTTCCTCACATCTAAACTCTTTATTTGTACAAAAACAGGAAAATACGGGGCACCAACGCCTTATCAGGTTAATGAAATTTACATTTTATAAGTAGAGAGAGGGTCGGCACCCGGGGAATTAATTCCGAGGACGCTGCCCAGGCGAGGAAAAGTTCTTGGCCCATCTGGCGAGACGCGAGAACCCTTTTAAAATTAATTTTTGCGTCTCGCGGGGTTCCCCGGCACCCCGCCACCACCCGGAATTGCTAATGTAATCTTTCGCCGTCGAGAAACGGAGAGTCGCAAGCGTTTTCCGCGTTTTCACAAGAACCAATGTTGGAGCCCCCCATCGTCATTTGCATAAAGCACTCGTTATGTATGCCGCTCGGGGCGGTTTAATTGCTTAACTGCGAGTTAAGACGCCACTGATAGTCATACGGAAAGTAATTAAATAAAACCCTACCTCTCTCTCCCGAGAAGGAAACAATTTACGATCCCGGATTCATTCGTTTTAAACCCATCTTAAAATGGAAACTGTGAAAACAAGAAAATTTCGAAATTGAATTTGGATAAGAGAAAATAATTAAGATTACGTAATAATTCAAATTTTTTATGGAATCTCACCTAAATAGGCACATCGATGCATAGATTCCCGTCGGATATATAACAATCGTAGATGACCGTAGAAAGGATCGTAGAAGAGCGAGAGAAGCCGTCTTATAATAATAATAAAAGTGAAATATGAGTGGTCGTGCGTCGTGGGGCCCATGTTAATGGCATCCTCTACATGCACTAATTACTGCATAAATATGCGCGGCCCTCTCGGTCCTTTGTGGCCCGTCCGGCGGCGGCGGCCCGTTCGCCCACTGCAGCAAAGCTCCGGGGCCCCGGTCCTCCCATTACCGGCTCATTGTATACCCTGCCAATAAATAATATTCTTTATATGACGCGCGGTTTCTCTCTGCCTTTTGCGTCGAACCTCCGCCTGAGCTTGTACCCAAGCCATCGTTGTCGTAGACGTTGTTGGTGATCCTTTTGTCCTTTTCTAACTTCATCGTTAAATCGCATCTTTCTTTTCTACATTTTACCAGAGACCCTAAAATTCTCCATTAAAAAAATATTAAATAGTAAGTTATATTTTTAAATTTGTTGAAATTTAAATCATAATAGCATATTACCCCCCGATAGTGATTTTCTTTTTTCTTTGTAAGCTAAGGTTGAGATCCATTCCAATAGACTTTGACCTTTTGCCTTTTTTCCTAAAGACCTAAAAGGAACGCTCCGACACCAGATCACCAGGCATTCAATTACGTCGAGGATGAAGGAAAAGGAAAGAAGAAAACGAAACGATGAGAAACCTCTAGGTTTTTAATTAACTCCCTACATCTGTTTCTTAATTATTGTTTTCTGACCCTCGATGGGGTATCATTTCTTTACCTCTAAACCTGCCGCTTTCCTAATTTTCGTCGATGTTAATTCGTAATAAATCGTCCCATCCATCTAATCCACCTTCAAGCCATCACAATGATAAAAGTCTCCAAAACAGAACTTTAAATTGAAACTAACCTAAAACTTTGACAGCCGCTTAAGAAAAAGTGAGATTATGTACATAAATTGAACGTTTAATAACTTTAATGTGCATTTATATTGAATGAACAAAGAACTGTAACGTGCAGAACGACACTTTAACGTTGAAATGATCACCTGCTCCTTCTTCCCCATATACATACATATATGAAATTGAAATTGATAAACATTTACATGTTATATTTTGACAGGGCAACTCGTACATCATCGCGGTTAACAAGGGGGCCCTATTAAATAACCATTCCCTAAATTACTTCCAGGAGAAGACGTCCAGTCGAGTCGAGTCCGTCATAGGGGCCCCCAATACAACCTGCCACGGTTGCAAACATTGAAAATGCAAAAAGGCATAAAATATTCCGGCGGTCGTAGCAACGACAGCCCCACAATAAGCGCTCACCTGACAGCAGAATACCCCTGATTAATTGAATTCCGCTTATGAACATGTATGTTTCCTTTTTGAATTGTTAATTATATGGAAATTACATTCAAAATGCTAATCAAATTTTAATTTAATACATTTAGCGCCATCTATTATGGAACGTCCATAATAAAAAGAAATTTAACATAACCCGCCATCTAGGAAATAAGCTAAAAACTTTTCTAAACCTAACCTCTAAAGATAGAAATTTGATAAACATTTAAAATGTGGAAACATATTAATAAATTGACCCAAAGCCTTAATAAAAGTCGTCTTTTAACACCGGAAGTTTGTTTGAATCAACAATTAAGAACGACTTTTATTTTAAAGAGAAGAAACGCGCCTTATCTCCATAAAAAAGGGGCAGAACCAAAACGATTAAAACCGAAACATTACATTTACAATCTTGTAGAGCATTTAGACAGTCAAAAACAACCCGATTTAGAAGTAATTTTAACCAGTTATGTTGAAGGATTAGGAGATGTTGGTGAAAAAGTTTCCGTACGTCCACAATACGGTTACAATAACCTTTTATTACCAGGTTTAGCTATTTATGCAACACCTGAAAATACAAAAAAATATCTAAATACTGATTTAAAGGATAAAAGAAGTTTTAGTTCACCAACGGTTGAAGGAGTAAGTTTAAATTTTGTGGTTAGAGCTTCTTATGAATTAATTTTTTTAGACAATGACCATTTTATCTCGAATGACTCTTTCTGTAATAATGAATAAAGAAATCCCATGGACATTAGAACCATGGCATATAAGAACTTCATTCAGAAAATGTGGTTATGTTGTTCCAGAGGAGTGTATTACAATGCCATCAAAAACGATAAAAGGACCTAACATGGATATTGAAAATAAATCGTTTTACATTACAATTACTATAAATAACCAAGAAAAAGTTGATGTAAAATGTAGAATACATCATTGGAGTACTGGGATAATGGAACGTTTACCTCATATTCATGATTTTTGGAAAGTTCCCTCAGAGCCAATCTTTCCAGAAGATGCAGAAAAAATAAATTCTGTTAACAAAGAGTTAGAAGAAAAAAAATAGATTAAAAAATTCGTTTATTTCAAAATTAAACTAAAAATAAAAATGTTTATTGTTTTTTATTTTTATCAGAAACAGTATATTTATCATAAACTTTAGTTGGATCGTAAGGTTCCCAACGACTTGCTGGAAAAATGTGTTTGTTTCTTTCGTACCAACTCCTCATCAATACTTTTCCAGCATGCGACTCCTCTTTCTCAATTGTGGCATCGCTCACTAATCGAATATCATCATGAACATCAAACGTAAATAACGGACCGCTTTTACCTCTTGCTTTAGTTACAATAAAATCATAAAAAGTATAATGATGAGGTAAAATTAAATCTTCTTTAACATACATCAATTGATCGGCCATAACCGTTTTTAATTCAGAAAATTCTCTTCGTAACAATTCTAATACTTTTTGTAAAAATTGATAAACAGAATTTCCTTTTTTAACTCTTACAGTTCTTCTGTGCCCAGAACCATCCCAATAACTAAAAGTAATATCAATTTCTTCTTCTTTTAATTTTTGCTGTTGTTCAGCCCATTCTTGTCTAAGTTCCTCTCGTAATCTATTTTCCTCTTCCTCTCTTTCACGGTCAGGTAAAAAACTTGTATCAACAGTTGGATCTTTTTTAATCTTCTTAACTTTTACTTCCTCAGTTACATTCTTTCGCTTCCAAGTCATCTCATCTTCGTCTTCTTCATCATCATTCTTATCTCCTTCCTCATCGTTATCTTCTTCCAAATTAAATGATAAAGCTTGTATCTATGAAATTGAACCTACGACATAAGTAAAATAAAAATAATACAATAAAGAAATCTTACTTGTCTTTTCTGTTTATTTTTTTCAGCTTGTTTCGCTTCCATTTGTCTTTGCCGTTCTCGTTCTTTCTCCGCTTGTTTTTGTGCCAATTTCTTTTCACGCTCCTTAACTATATTTTCTTGTTTCGCTTTCATTTCATCCAAAGTAACCAAACCGATTGTGGAACTTTTAAGTTGTTGTTCGACGGCATCATAATGTGTTGCGAATTTATTTTCAATATTATTCAACTTAAGATCTTCCTCAATTTTTTTCTTTCTCAATTCAATGTCTTGTATTTGTTGTTCCCTTTTTTTCATTAATTGCATCGCTCTTCCCGCTTCACTTGCGGCACCTTTATAATGAGCCATTTCGATTTATTTAAGTGATAATCACAACTCTTCAAAGCACTTCAAAGTTAATAAAATAAATAACCAAATACGATGTTAAAGTTAGGTTATGTTAACTGTCAAATTTTGATAACAAAACAAAGATGGTTGATGTGTTTCGGTTATTATGCAACAGATGGCAATAAAAGTATTCGAATTGTCTGAAATTTTTTATGATTTTTGAAATGTTAAAATGTTTCATGACAATCTAAAGAAGTTTATTGAAAATGTTAACTATAAAATACTTCTTAGTGACGTATTTTTTCGTTTTAAATCCAGTTTATGGTGGTTTTGAAGATAAGGTGGCTGAATTGGAGAAAAAAAGTCGTCCGATAAGATCATGCGAAGATGAACGACTTGGTGGAGCACAACACGTTGGGTTTGGAATGTCCATTATAGTGCTATTTTTAGCGATTTTACTTTTTCTAATTTGTCTGGGAATACTAAAAGGATTAATAGGATTGTTATTTTTCCCGAAAATCGGAGTGTGTGGAATGAATCTTCTTGTGGATCTTCCAAGACCGATTAAAAAATATCAAGAACCGGAATTAGCTGGTTGTCCGGTTGTTTATGACGTTGTTGGGTGGCCCATTCACCCACAAACCGGAAAAAGAACAGTTAGACCACTTTCGAAGTATTCATTTTTTGAATACTCATATGATTTATTTGATTTTTTTTTGTAAATATTTTTTAGGAATACAGAGTTTTGTATGAATGTAATCTTCTTTATAACGTACCCAGTTATAATAGTAGTTACATTATGCTCCCATATTTGTTACAAAAGCTATGACGAGGAGGGTACCGATAATAACGTCTACGACAACGTGAATACGGTGGTATTTTCCGAATGTCCAGCGTATCAAGTCGATAATGTCAAGGAAAAGGTACATATGGGGACATAAATGAACGTCCCAGTTCTATTATATTAATCGATTTTATTGTTTTACTTAAAATAGATTGAATATATTAATATATTTTTAAACTCACTTGTTTCTCTCCTGTTTTTGGTTGTTGCAGTGTAAATGCCCTAAAAATTGTGGTGGCCACGATATTTATAGAGATGATGATTCTGCTGAAGAACATGATACTAGATATGTTATGGAACAAATGGATGATAGTTCAAATCGGTTAAAGCAATAAAATCTATGAAAATATTGAATCAGGAAGATAAACAAGTGTATTGAGAGCAAGATAAAGAACTAGTATTGTAATTTATATTATTATTTCTATTGTATTTATTTATATTATTAGATTTTTTATGAAAAATAAACAGATTTTAAAGTGAACATTTAAAGGGGGGCAAATCAACCCAAGAAAGAATGTTGGATCAGGTTAGTTATCTTTTGTAATATCGATTATATCGTAAAGGAATTTTAGCTAATATATCTGATAGGTTTCCATATTTGCATGTTTTTCATAGTTGTAAAGTCTCACGAACATATTCTACAATTATATCTATTTAAATTACAGATTTATATGAATAAGATAAAGAATAGTGAAAAATTTGAATCAAGAAGAATGGGCACCAAGCGGAATTCAGAGCGGGTAAATAATATATTTAGTCTAAACCAAATCATAGAAAAGAAAGTAGCTACAGGATGAACAACACATCTCTTATTTGTGGATCTCACTAAGGCATATAACAACCGCGCCCCCACAGAGTTGATGGTCAAAAGAAGAAATGCAGCCCTGACTGATAAACACGAAGTCACAACATATGGAAGAATAGGAATCCAGATGATCGGAAAACACTGGTGAAGCAAGTTGGACAAAGAAACTTATACCGAAGTTAACACCGTGGATAACGAGAACATGAGGAGAAGTGAATTACGTCTTTACCCAATTTTTAAGTGGCCATGGCTGCTATAAGCAGTATCTGTTTAAATACAAGAGAGATTATGACGAGATGTGCGTCTATTGGGAGAATAGGGTGGACGACGTGGCACATACTTTTTTTGTGCATATGAGATGGAGATAGGAGAGAAAGGAGGTAACAGGAAGGAAAAACACTTACACCAGAGAACTGCGTCAATATCATGTTTGAAAAAGAAGAATACTTACGAGCTTGGAAGGTTGTTGAGATATTACATGTTTTAGTGTTTAGATTATGATGCTTTATTCCATGTCTAGGTTGGGCTTGGTTTGGTTTTGTTGGGTAGGGTTAGGTTTGATTCTGTTAGGTTGAGTTGGGAAGAGTGGTAGAGACAAAGGAGAAAGAGGAAAGGCTGATGAGAATGGATAGCGGTTGAGGAATACATCAGAAAGCTGATAAGTGCTAAGGAGAGGGAGGAGAAGGCAATAATGGGAAAGCAAGAAAAACCCCGACAAAACAAGAGTTGTGATATTTTGAAGCATAGAAAGTGTAGATATATGAGGAAGAGCTCTCATATTTTGAAGTGTGGAGCTAGTTATTTGTTTATTTATTTATTTATACATAGAGTATTTATTTAGAACAACTATTTACATAGTGTGTATATTTATTGATTATGGGTTTGTTAGAAAAATAAAGGAAACCCGGAAACAACAAGTGCTGCATCATTGACGAAGGCCTCACGGCCCTCACAGCGATACCAAGATGCCAGAAACGTGGCGAAGAAGAAGGGTATGAATTCGGGTACCCGAATTACGCTGATAACACTAACTAGAAGGGTATGACTGAGCTAAACCTAGCTCACCTTGTTAAAGTTCTTCATTAATGTATCATTTTCTGGGTTATTTTTGAAAAATTTACATATTTTGTGTTGTGAAATATTGTAATCCCCATCTATAGTTATCAAAAAGAATTAACTGGATCAATATTTGTTAGCGCCATCTGTACCCGACTAGTAAAATTAACTTGAAGCGCAATGTATTGTGGGAGTTCAGTCCGGATTTTTATCGAGATCGACCTTCATCTGTCAAGTGGTGGCGGCGACGACGGCGACGGCGTCCGCTAACAAAAAAAACTCGTTCGCGTTTCCTTATGTAGTGAGAGACGATTGTCGCGACCACATCTTAATCTTTCACTTTTCCTTACAAAAAAGAAGTTGAAACAGTGTTTGCGAATATACAGTGGTTTTAAAGAAACTGGAAGGATAAAAAACGATCAAAGGGGGGTTCGTCGTTAGTTCCTCTCCCCTAAGGTAGTGAAAGGGGTGCGCGCGTGTCGAAAGAGAACGAACGAACGGCGGCCACGCGGCGGCGACGGCGGCGGCGGCGGTTTTGGGGGCGCAGTCCCAAATGTTTACCGGGAACGTTCGCGTGAAAATCTGCGAGGCATCCGGGTTAAGACCCACGGATCGCCAGAAGAGGCAGTACGTGACTTTTGGAAAACCGGACGAACAGTTGATTGATCCGTACGTGACCGTCGATGTGGACGAGGTGCATGTGGACCGTTCAACAACCAAACAGAAAACGTTCGACCCCGTTTGGAATGAATCGTTTGAGCACAGTGTCGAAAATGCAAAACAGATCACCCTCACGGTTTTTCACAATGCTACAATACCGCCAGATGATTTTGTTGCAAATTGTAGCATCCCTTTTGAGGATTTATTATCGAGGGAACGTGATGAAGGAGATTTTTGGGTAAAAAAATAAAATTAGGTTAATTTTTTTTTGACGTTTCGAATCATTTTTTTTTGTTAGGGTGCTATGAACTCATTTTTATAGGTTGTATATTGTTGTTGTTTTATATATGGAAGGGTCGATAAAAAAGGTTACGTAAATGTTTGATGATATGATTTGAAATTGATGGGATTTTAAAATAAAATTGATATAAAAATATTTTATTTATATTTTAATAGAAAAATTCGATTTAATTTATTAAAAATAATAAAAGATTGCTTTGTTTATAATAAATCTGTTAAAAAAACATTTTAATTCAATGACATACATAGTCCTAGATTCTAGTTTTGATATTTAGGTCATCAAGGTTAAATGTAAAGTACCAACCCAGCCCAATAAATAAGAAATGAGTTTCGTTTTCTTTAAAGAAATAGTTAGAAAATAAACACGTGAAAACAAAAATCGAAATAACGTTAAACAAACCTTTATTTGTTATTTGTTTTTTGATATGGTGTTATTTTCTACTTCCTTTTCCTTAAATTTAATTTTACATACTTCCTTTGCAGTGTCTATTTTAGTGAAAACCGAACCTAAATGATTCACAAAAACGATGCCAATTTTACTTTACTGCTCTCATTGAAATACCAAAAGGCAAAACGCTTTTGAAACGTTTCGTCGTTTTGAAATAGTTCCTATCATTAATTATCTACTCGTTTTGACGGCAAAATGCCCAGTTAAATAACTGTTTACTGGTAAAAATAAAGCTAAAACTATTCAAATGAATTTATTAATAAAGACTAATCTAGGATTATAACAAACGGTTGTTTTATTATCAAAAAATTATTAAAGTAGGTCGAGCTTAGGCGTTAAGGCGAATCACGTTTTAAACAAGCTTAAATTTTTTTTAATTAAGTTGAAATAATAGTTACTTAATTGTGTTATCAACATCATCGATGGAAACTATAAAGGATACATCAAAAGCTTGGATGGCCAAAGAAATGTACCAAAAAACTAATCAATCAAAAAAATTCAAACCAAGAGCAACTTCGAAAGCCAAGCCAAACAAAGATTATCTAAAAAAAGTTTAAAACTCAACAAAATGAGGGAATTAAACAAGATTTTATCAAAAAAAGGAAAACGAAAACCACAACGTTTATTTTAAACCATACAACCCAAAACAGACGTAACAACAATGTAATGTATATGTGAGGAATACTACACCAGAGATAAATGTACTACAATATTACCAGAGATCTGCAAATTATGCGCGATAAGTCAGCAGGCGTGGTCCTTCAAATGCAAGAAGCGACTAACAATTAATACAAGGAAATCGAAATTTTAATGCCTCACAACTTTAGAATACATAAACCTATTAGTACACATGAACCAAGTTAAATAGAGAAGAACTGATTGGGAAACTTTTATTGCTGTTCGATGTCAATTTTAACATCGATATCACAACGCTACCGATTATGAAAAACCAAGTGGTTTTGGAAATACCAGGCGGTTTACCAACTGAACTTACTTATTGCAATTATTTTTATTCATACCTCTTCGGTACAAACATGACGTTTTGAATCACCTGTTGAAGTAACTCATTGATCTAGTCATGTATACAGGAATGAAAATAAAGATGAATTTAATACAGGAACTAGGATACCAAAGGATTCCAAACCACATATGCCAGGGAGAAGGTTCAATTATAAAGTGGAGACAAAGCAACCTCTCCTTGCATAAAAAAAAACTCTTATAATGAATGCTCTATCTCGTTTCAAGATGACTATCTTCACGGGAAACAAACATATTTAAAAAAGCATCACAATTCACATCCGCTGTAATACAGCGAAAAATTTTTTTTATAAAGTTGATTTCATTTTGACATAAAGATCAATACAGGGCCCAGAATTGAAACTTTTATTTTACAATGAGACTTGGTGGCATTACTGGAATTAGTTTTTAACCGAGAACGTTGGTGGGGGAATTTGTTTGTCAAACGTTTTCAGTTGCCAAAGTGTTTCAATGCGCGTTTGCAAAACCTAGTTTTCACGAGGCCAGTCAATCGTCGCGGAGCTCCGGGCGTCAACGGTACAATATATATTGCTCCTCGAGTTGCTGTGCCATCTCAGGGATCCATCTTATCGTGGGAGGAAGCTTTTAGGACAGTTGGAAATGTGTCCTGCAAGAGACTAGGACCGTTAGAACCCCTGCAAATCTCGGCGCAATCTGACCTTCAGTTTTGCGATCTCCTAGGCACTCTGTCTCAAAACATGCGGCTGTCCTGGGTTTGTCAGATCGAACAAATTTGTCATAATGACCCTTTCATCCACACAAAATATCTAAAATAAAAGAATTTTTTAAAAATAGAACGTTTTAAGTGAGAAACAATGATAAATTTACATTCCTCTCCTCAACAATGCGTTCTTCGGGATTCATCCCTTTTCTGCAGCTTATTATATAGAGTGTTTAAAAAGTGATTCTACTCACCTAATACTCATGGGTTGGTGAATGACGTGAGGAATTAGGCAAATAAGGCAGCGAGACTATCTGGCTGCCTAAGACATGTAGCAAAGTGCGAGTAACAAGACCTGTGTCCGATGTGTACTCACCTATGCAGCTGAGACTAGAGCCGAAATATCTCACAGAAAAGTTACGATGAGGACTACAAAAATAAAGTATAAAATGTATTGCTGTCCGAGACATAATACGAAATGTGGACATAATGAGAGATCATAGGCTGCAGGATGTAGTGAGATGGACGAAAGAGCTACGTCGGTAATGGAGGGTCACAAGCATGCAGTTGGAAAACCGTTCAAATGCTGTCTGGAAAGCTAGACAGCACAAGAAGGAATGAGACAGAACATACAAGACTAGGTCCTATACCAAGAAGCAGACCCTGTTTGTAGTGAAAAATTATGCTCTTTAAAACACCTATTTAATTTACAGCAAACTTTACCTCTTTATTATGGGCAAATCATTTACAAGCCATTTTTTCAATGTTGGAATAGAAAATCAGCATGGTAAATCTGGCGGATGGGCCGCGTATGGAAACCAACATAGCAGCACCTTGAGCTAACATTTTTCAAACCTCCAAAGATCATATATACACTGAAATGAGCATACAATTAAAGATTGTAATTTGCGAACCCAGAATGTTATCTCCAAATCATCAGTTTTAAAGCCATATGCAGACCAGTATTAAACAATTGGCATCTTTGGATCATTAATACTATGAGTAAGTGCATGGAAATAATTGATGAAGTTGACAGAAAATGCATATAAATAATTAGTAAAATTTTATATCCTTGTCACGATATAAACATTGAATGTATTGAAATATATTTTGTTTAATTTTTAGTATTACTCTGTATGGATAAAAAACATTGTTTGTCTTTTCAGGTTAATTTGGAACCAAAAGGACGATTACATGTTCGTATCGACTTAAAAACAACAAATGGTAAAGTTTACATTTCTTTTATGAGTTCTAGTTAATAATTTTTTTTTTAGAATTTCAAGGGGCTAAACCAAGGGAGTTTAAAGAACGCCAAGGTTTCAATCGGCGTCGCGGGGCGATGCGACGTCGTGTACACCAGGTCAACGGGCACAAATTTATGGCAACGTTTTTGCGTCAACCTACTTTTTGTTCTCATTGCAGGGAATTTATATGGTAAGTTAATTATTAAATAAATCAAAAAAAAAAAAGAAATTAAAATAAATTAATTAGGAAAGTTATAAATTAAAAGAAAAAAAATTGTTTTTCGAAAGTAACTAACTACACACAATCTCTTGACAGGGGTTTGGGAAAACAGGGCTATCAATGTCAAGGTAACTACGCACGCTGGGGTGACTACTTATGTTGTCGCCTCTTAAAAAAATAATTAATTTTAAAAAAGCAGTTTTTCTAGGTGGTTTTTATTGGTGTAGTTGCCGCAAGCTGCATGACCATTACCTACTCAAAAAAAAACTTTTTTTGCTGCCAAAAAGCTAAAATCCGCTGAACAAATCTAAGCCTATATTATATTCATACTGTGTATATTTTAATTTTCGCAACGCGCACGCCAACCCATCAAAAATTTTTTACCGCATGGCTCTAATCACGCTTTTCTATCATTCAGAAAACAGCAAGAACACACCACTTTTGTAAGTTTTATTTTATCTTCTTCTTTATTTTTCTTTTTAAAAGTTATCTTCATCTAATTAAAATTAATTATAATTTTATTTCATTTTTAAGTTGTACATAATTTTATTAACACAAAATGTTTCTAGAACTAAAATCAGAATTAAGTTGGACTAATCAAAATTTCAATCAGCGTGAGATGTTTTATTATTAATTATGCACATATAATATAGAAATAAAATATATACCTTGTTATTCAGAAGTACTGAGGTCTGATTCATTGTCAATATCTAACAAGACAAAGATCACTTCACTAGATCAAATATGGCTAACTGCATTTGAATTTATTTACTATTGATGTGAGTCACCTTATCACTATTAGATGCCTTCCACATTTATTAATTCCCAACCACCCAATTTCATTTATCCGTTTTCAATTACATTGTAACTGCTTCAATTCAGAATGAACCAAAGTGGTCTATGCAATTCACAGCAATAGGAACCTCTCAAACCACATTGTGGCAAACAAAATCAAATTAACTCAAGAACTGAATGCTTTTGAAGCGCCGAAACTTCTCAGATTGGGTCCTGCCAAAGTTTGTAATAATCCTGAATTACATCAAAAAGTTGTCTTCAGTAACGAAGCAATTTATTTTTGACTTAATAGAGAAAATACATTTGCAACTTTCAAAAACTTTGTCATACATTTTTTCCTGAAGCACGTACTTCGTGAAATCAACTTGATGAGATCATACTCTACCACTCTATCCAGTTGTTGAAACAGTTAAATTGCAAGGAAGTCAAAATATAAGTCTAAAAAATGGCGAATTAGATAATAGAAGCGACACAACGAGTCTGTCTATACAAACTTGGAAAGTACAGAAAGAAAAGTTAGTAATATCATTTTCGATTTGAACCTAAATGAATCTCCCTCCTCAATGGCTTCGTTAATAAGGAAAATATCGCGTCGTACCATGTTGCAAGACTATTTTAGGCCAGAATTGGATTTAGGCCTAGGCATTAGTGATATGTGGTTCTAACAAAATAACCTCACGATAATATCATGGGTATCACAAATTACATACATTTTCATACATTTTTTCCTGAAACACGTGCTTCATGAAATCAACTGGATCTGATCACTCTCTACCAGATGTATAAATACCTATATTAGCAATTTATGAAGATCTATCTGAAAAAAAATTATTCATCCGATGTTTGGGCCCATGCCCAGAATGCTAATTAAAGCTTCAACTTGACGGTTTGACTACCAACCCCAAAGCACCTGCATTATGGCTTGAAAACAGTCGAAATTTCTGCTTATATTGTGGCTATGTTGTTTAATGAAGGCCATAGTGCGATTTCATTCCATGCAAGGAAGTCGAACAAATGGACGAACGACGAATTAGTCAATATAAGCGACACAACGAGTCTGGCTATACAAACTTGGAAAGTACAGGAAGAAAAGTTAGTAATATCGTTTTCTATTTGAACCTAAATGCATCTCGCTCCATAATGGCTTTGTCAATAAGCAAACATGCGGTGTTGCACAGCAACAAACCCACACGTTCTTCAAGAGAAGACTCCACTACAACCACAAAAAGTGACCCTGTGACGTGGATTTTATGCCGAAGGGTGATTAGACATCTTTTTTCATTGATCAAAATGATTGCCATGTTAAGGACAATAGAGTTCGCTATCGTGCCATGTTTCAAGACATTTTAGGCCAGAATTGGATGGCTTTGGAATTAGTGATATGTGATTCTAACAAGATAATCTCATAGGTATCACAGATTCTATAGAGAAAGGAACCTTGCAAAATTTGATTGTAACTCTTATTGCCCTCTCATTTTTGTGATATAAAAGATTCAAAAACGAAATGAATATCATTAGATTTATAATTAATCCAGCTTAAACTGTTCTGATTTTGAATGAAATACTCTAGAAATACTTTACGTTACAAACATTTTTTTTTCCATTATTTATTTTCTTTTAACCATCAAACGCATTAACACCATAGGTGTTTTTTTATTTTCTTTTATAAAATGAAACTAAAATCTAGATTTTGTTGTAAGAGTGCATTATTAAAAAAATTTTTTGCTGATGAGTGTTGTGTGTTCGCCACCTACTTTTCATCTTAAAAATTTTTCGAGGGAAGGTGATCATTTTTATCGTATTTTTTTGGCAGTATGCACCTGCGTTGTACACAAGAGATGTCACCTTCTGGTTGTCACCAAGTGTCCCGGCATGAAAGATGAGGTACGACTTTAATTTCAAAATCAAAATCAATTATTTAAAAAAAATAATAATAACAATATGATAATTTTTTAACAAGAACCATGCTTTTCTTATAACATTTCATTTTATTTAGATGATTATTAACTAATTAAGCTTTTGGGTACTAATTTTCATTTCTGTTTAAATAATTTGGGTTGAATAAAATTTCTTTTTATAATTTGGCTTTTGGTTTAATAATTTTTATTTCCAGTTAAACAAATTCGATAAATTTTGGTGTTGGTGATTAGTTCTTATAATTTATCGTGGAGGTTGCATTCAAATATTTGTGAAACTTAAATAAGTTCAACAACAAATTTCGTTTAATTTAAAATATTTAAATACAACCTCAATAACAGTTTCATAACACTAAATCTAATAAAACTTTGTCTAATAAATAATTCTTTGTTTTACTTTTTTTATTAGTCAAGTTCTCAAAGTACAGGATTCAACGTAAACATCCCGCATCGTTTCGTCGTGCACAATTACAAACGATTTACATTTTGCGATCATTGCGGCTCACTTCTGTATGGTTTGATAAGGCAAGGTTTACAATGTGAAGTATGCTCATTAAATGTGCACAAACGTTGCCAAAAGAACGTGGCTAATAATTGTGGAATAAATACTAAACAAATGGCACAAATACTGAATGAAATCGGAGTTACTCCCGCTGATAAACAAACGCCGAGACGATCAAAATACGTTCCGGTAGACGGGGCTACCTGTGATGATCCTCAAACGAGTGAAACAGAAAGTTTGGTTAGAGCGGAAAATCCTTTAAATACTGATGAAAGATTAGCGAAATTGTTTGAAGAAAAACTATCGAATAACGGTGGAAATGAATATCATTCAACGCCGGGGAAATTAGGTGTTGATGATTTTCATTTTATTAAAGTTTTGGGTAAAGGTTCGTTTGGTAAAGTTATGTTGGCTGAGAAAAAAGATACCGATGAAGTTTATGCGGTTAAAATTTTAAAGAAAGATGTTATCATACAAGACGATGACGTTGATTGTACCATGACGGAAAAACGTATTTTAGCTTTGGCTGCTAAGCATCCTTTTTTAACCGCAATTCATTCGTGTTTCCAAACTCAAGAAAGATTATTTTTCGTTATGGAATATGTTAACGGCGGTGATTTAATGTTTCAAATTCAGAAGGCGCGAAAATTTGATGAACCCCGAGCTAGATTTTACGCGGCCGAAGTAACTTTGGCGTTACAATTTTTACACAAACATGGCGTCATTTATCGCGATTTAAAATTGGATAATATTTTGTTAGATTTCGAAGGACATTGCAAGTTAGCCGATTTTGGTATGTGTAAAGAAGGTATTCTTGATGGTTTAACCACAACTACCTTTTGTGGAACGCCGGATTACATAGCGCCGGAAATCTTGCAAGAACTTGATTATGGTGCTAGTGTTGACTGGTGGGCTTTAGGAGTATTGATGTACGAAATGATGGCCGGCCAACCACCATTTGAAGCCGATAATGAGGACGATCTTTTCGAGTCGATTCTTCACGATGATGTCTTATATCCGGTTTGGTTAAGTCGCGAAGCCGTTAGTATATTAAAAGGATTTATGACTAAGAATCCTAGCAAAAGATTGGGTTGTGTTACTGCTCATGGATGTGAAGCCGCAATTAGACAACACGCTTTCTTTAAAGATATAGATTGGACAGCTTTAGAGCAACGGAGAGTTCGGCCACCGTTTAAACCAAAAATCGTAAGGAAATAATTAAGTGGTTAATCAACACATTGGCTGCCACGTCATGAATGACATTCATATATGAACTGGCAGCCAATGTGTTAAATAACATTTTAATAATTTATTTATTTTTGTTGTAGAAAAGTAAAAAAGATACAATAAACTTCGATACGGAATTTACAAAAGAAGAACCGATATTAACACCTGTTAATCCGGAGGTGGTTCGTACAATTAACCAGGAAGAGTTCAAGGGGTTCTCGTTTATGAACCGCGATTACAATCCGGCGCGTTTCGTTGCCGATTAACGGGCCATCGTTTTGGAGGACGTTTGTAGCTACGGAAACGACGACGAGAACCACTACCACCACCGCCGTGGGACCCGACGACGAAGACGACGACGGGGCCAGGCCGGGCCACCGAGTGCAATACCGAAGCTGCCTCCCGTCTTCTCCCCCGTTCAGATTGTGGTCGACGTGCATTTCCGAGAAATGTACATACCATTACACGTTGTTACACTATACATAATAATAATAATTTAAAAAATAAAAAAACATGAAGATTACATTATAAAAAAATATGGATTTAAAAAAAATGAAAATAATATTATATCACGCTGTATACATATACATAATATTACGGTGTTTTAATGTATATTTATTCGATGTGAGCTTAGCTGGGTCGTTTGCGGCCATTAAAAACCCAAAAAGTGGATGTTAGGTCTGTGTTTTAGCACTAGCCACGCCCTTCCCCTCCTAATTCCTGTACCTACATACCATAACCTCCCTTTTCTCTCTCTCTCTATCTATCTCTAGTCTCACGCTACTTGCTCCGTTTGTGCCAAACCATCCCGGCCACGCGTTGTTATGTTTATATAATGTTTGTACTAGCGAATTGTACCAGTCTGTTTTTTGCTGTAAATGGTGTACCTACTATTCTCCCCCTTTCCCCCTTGATGATGTAATAATGATTAAATAAACATTATTTAATGTACAAACAAATTTGTTTTATTTTTGTCACTAAAATCTTAAATATGTTAATTTAATGCTAGCGATAAGCACGCCAACTCTAAATATAATATATTGCATGAGAATCAAAATGGTTTTTGGAAGGGAAGATCCACCGAACTTGCGATGTTTCAACTGTTGGAAAATATCTTGGGATTAAAGGCCACAACAGCATTGTTCATGAATCTCACAAAAGCCTTTGATAGTGTACATCATTCAACCCTTTTGTCCAAGTTGGAGACTTGGTTTTAAAGGTGTTAGCTTGTCATGGATGAAATCCTAGCTATTAGGGAGGTTACAATATGTGGTTGCCCACAATGAACAGGGAACAGAAATAAGATGAGCTTAGAGGGAAGACAAGCTGGGAGTACCTCAAGGTTCCATATTGGGTCCTCTATTGTTGCTCCTGTATGTGAATGACTTACCACGTGTAACGAACAACATTACGACAATGTTTGCGGATGACACAACGACCGTGGCGAGGTGTAGCACCGATTATGAAATCCAGAAATCACCTACTGTGGATTTGAATAAACTTGCGGATTGGTTTGAAGCGCACAACATAAAGTTAAGTACAAAAACAAACGAGAATTGTTGATTATCACTTATGCTCTAACCAGGTCAAGGCGAGGTATTGGGATACTGAGATAGCCACTGTTGAAGAGATTTCGTTTCTGGATTGGAAAATGGATCCTGGACTGACTTGGACCAATCATATTGATTTCCTTGCTGGCAAGATCAGTCATTTCTCATATGCCATTCGGATTATTTCCAGATCAGCTGAAATTGAGGCAGCATTAAATGTCTATTATGCATATGGGGCCGTGGAGAGGTGTGTAAGAGCAATCTTTGGTCTAAAAAAACTGATAGCTGTAGAAGTTACTTTAAAGACTATAAAATACCTACTTTGTATGGAATTTATACTCTGGAATGTGCCGTATTGGTTAGGAAGAATTATTTGGAATTTTTCAAAAAATATGAGATATCACATCCTCGAGACACACGCGGGAAGGTGATCTGCTATCTGGTGCCACCAAAAAGGCACCTTACTAAAATTCAGAAGACGGCTCTGTACCAGAGTATCTAGATTTACAATCACATTTCGGAGAGTACAAGGATCCTGCCAGTTCCAAGATTCCGAAGAAGACTAAGAGCTATTGTCACGGAAGATCCGATGTATACCATTGATATGTTTTTCCAATTTAATGTTTGAATTTAATTTGTATTATACCACAATGTAATTATTGTTGAATTGACGCACTCTACACTTTTTTGGTAAAATGGAGGAATAAAGTATTATTATTATAACCACTGATAATGTGCTATCAATGCCATCAGATTTGACGCGATCACTACCGAGTGATTATTGCTCGATACTGCCTGAACGGCAGTTCTGGATCCGAAACGAAAATTCTTTGGTTCAGGCAGATATTTGCATGTTCACAGATGGATCAACAGCACTGGAAGGGGTCGGGACAGGAGTATACTGCTAGACACTTTGGATTAAACAAGCTTACAGCCTCGGCACATATTTGCTATTGATATGGATGCTAAAATCCTTCTTGAGAGAAGGGTAAAGAACGTAACAGCCTACGATTTTTCTCAGACAGTGAAACCGGTTTTGCAGTTAATGACTGCAAAAGACACACTGACTTGTGATAACACAGTTTCTTTGATTTGGGTCTCAGGTCACTCTGGGGTTGCTAGCAATGAAGTGGCAGATGAGCTAGCACGAGAGGGCAGCGTTAAAGCGTTTGTGGGATCAGAGCCAGCATGAGAGGGACTTCGCCTACTATTTCGTTTATCTACATCGCCACCAGAAACCTGCATGAATGGTTTTATTGGCCCGAATAAAACATTTACAGAAAAACGAATGGTGAACGAACACTAAGACATCAAGGGCGTGCTGCAATGTAACACACGATTCGCTCAATATGCTGCAGTGTTGTTCTACAACATCAAGCAGTAGGCGTCTTTCTCAAGTCTAACACACAGCAGATCGTTAAAAGTGTTCGTGAATCATTTAAAATGATTCATTACCTCACGTACACAGCAGTGCTTTTGTATACAATTTGGCTAAACTTATACAAAATTGTCTACAATATTCTAAAATGTATCTAAAATTATCAAAATTTTACAAAATAGTTCAAAATGATGAAAATATTACTGAAATTATGTAAACTTGTTCAAAACTATCTAAAATGATCAAAATGTGGTTAAAATTATCAAAACTTATTCTTTAATTTTGAATTTTTGTATTAAAACTTGGAAAATATCCTTTTATTCCATGATTTGAAAAGGTTAACAATCATCAAATAAGTAAACTCAGTCTAATGATCTACTAACAGATTAATCAAAAAATGCGACAAAATCAAAATGAATATTTTTAAATCATTTATTCATTTGAGTTTAAGTTAAAAAAAATTTTTTTTTAGGAATCCAACAAAAAAATCCTTTATTACTTTCTATTTTTTTTATTTTCCAAGCTATTAACAATCCTAGGTATTTCTTTCAATAATTCTTCAGCATTTAAATCAAAATCATTATCAGCCCAAAATTCCTTTAATTCGTTAAGTACACACCCCATAATTCTTCCACTTTCAACTCCTTCTTCTTTTAACATAGCCCCATTAACAGGAAACTTAGGAACATTCCATTCAATGAATTTTTGTAAAAATGGAGAGTTATTATATTTAAGAACTTCAATAATCCATTCTTTGGTGTGATTCTGTTTTGATTTTGATTTAATTAAAAGTTGTTGATAAGGAAGTAAAGGATCTTTAGATGATAATTTAGGGCCTCGATGGGCTACCAAGAATAATGCCAAGTCTCTTTCATAAGCAGATAATTTTAATCTCGTATGTAAATTGAGTACTTGTTCCTCAGATCTTATAAGAGTTACAAGAAGAGTTATTCCATGAAGATTTAATTTTTGACTGCGTTTCCAAACAGCTTTTAATTCTTCTACATTTGGATTTTGAGGTAAACCTAAAAACAGAATAAATCAATGTTTAAATTTGATAACAAAGATTATTATTACCAATATATGGAGATAATCCACATTCTATAATTGTTTGCATAATCTCCCCAGCGAAATTTCCTTCTAGTATCTTTTTTAACTCCACCCAAATACGTTCACCAGATATTCCATGTAAACCATTTAAATTTTCTCTAATTGCCTCTAAGGTAAGTTCTTCATGAGCATCGGGTGTTAATGCTATTCTACCATAAAATCGAAAATATCTTAAAATCCTTAAATAATCTTCTTGTATTCTTGTTGTGGCATTTCCAACGAAAGCCACTCGACGTTTTTCTAAATCATCATAACCATAAAAATAATCGTACACTGAACCATCTAACCCTGCAACAATACATTTTATTTACATCGAGGTTGTATTGGTTCACAGGTTTATTTGATCAAACCTAAAAACATTGAATTTATTGTTAAATCCCGTCTATTTGCATCCAAAAGCCAATCAGTTGTATACTGAACTTCAGCATGTCTCCCATCAGTAACCACATCAATTCTAAGTGTTGTTACTTCAAAATTTTCTTTATTATTTATCCTTGGAGTAATAGTTCCATGCTTTTCACCTCTTGTATTTATCATACGAATATTTTCAGCACTAAACATATCTTTCATTTCATCTGGAGTAGCTGTTGTTGCGAAATCTAAATCTTTAGGTTTCATACCCATGATTAAATCCCTATTTTTAAAAAACAATAATTAATATGAATCTCTTTTAAAGATTTATAATAATTACCTTACTGCACCTCCACAAATCCTAATTTCATAACCATGCTTGTTAAAGAGAGACACCAAAGATTTTAATTCATCTGTAAAAATCGATTTGAACTCATTCGATTCTAATTTAGTAATAATCGGGTTTTCACGGTGTTTTGGGGCCATTCTATGTAATATTTGTAAACGTTTCGTTGGTTCTACGTTTATAAGATCTGTAAACTGATAAAATTGAAATAATTAAAAATAAAAGATGATTTTTATTTACCACTGAATTATAACGTTTTGTTATTAACGTAATTTTCCTTAAGACACCCTTAAACATTTCAAAATTTAATGTTTTTGATGTTTACAATTTTTAGGTTAGATTTCATCTGTCATTATTTTGTGTTGGAATTTTATTAATTTTTAAATGGTACTAATTTATGTATATTAATGATGCTTTAATTTCAAAATTATTTATTTAAGCAAAATTTAATTTGATTTATTAAATCCTTTTATTTATTTTATATTTTAGGTAATTTTAACATTGTTTCGTTAGGTTGGTAATTCTCCAACTACAAATAATTTGATTAATAATTTAGTAATGTTTTAAATAAAAACGAAAAAAAAAACATTTTTGTCTTACCTTAATTAATAATTAATCTTAAACAATATTTAAACAGCTAATTAAACAAATACATAAAAATTTATTTTAAGTAATTGGCATTGCTGTTTTTACCAACTTCATATATGTAGTTAAAAAAATATTCCCGCGTTTTTAACCGGCAATTTATAAGAAGAAACGGTGAATAAATTTAGGTGAAATGTTGCCGTCTAAAGAAGAATTAAGAAGAGCTTTGGATTTTATAGGGCAAACCCCGGATGAGAGAGTAATTAATAAATGTAAGTTATTAAAAGGAAATTAAAGTTTTGTTAACATAACCTAAAACTATCTTTCTTAAATTATTGATACTTAGGTTTGGAATTATGTACAAAATACAGTATCCTTGTAGAGGATTTCGTTGACCAATGGTCAGCGTTTACTATAACTAATTTAAAGAATGGCCCTATAACTTTGGATGGAATTTTGTTGATGGAACGGAAAGAACTTGCAAAATTAAATGATCTGAATAGTTCAATAGCAAAGTATCCTTTATAAAACAATTAAAAAATACTAATTAAGGATAAAAACAAAGATTTTTTCCTTAAGCTTTGTGTAGATCAGATATAGTTCCTGGAACACCTCAACAACCCAAGGTAATTTGTTTTATGTCCTCTTCTTATTTTATATCATTTTTTTATTTAATCCATCTTAAACAGTTATCCTCCATATTTTTCTCTTATACTCGCTTCTTGCTTCACACAGTTGAATGCTCTTTCGTTGTGTACTCGCCTTCTCAACGTTTCGTCTTCGTCATTCACCATTAAGCGACGTCGGTTGGAATGAAACGAAAACACTTCACGTCATTTCTATTAGTTGCACTTGCGCACAAGACGCTCGTAACTTTTCTGAGAACTTTTTCAAGGTTGTTTGTTTCTTCGGCAGCCATTTGTTAAAATCTGGAGAAGACGCTTGCCTTTTCAATCCGTTTTTTCTTATTCCCCAAAATAATTTCAAGTGCCCCAAGTGTTTCAGTGAATTAATTTTATGATAACAAATTTAATGTTGACTCGACAACCTGTTGCGCGTACACGCGTCGTAACTCTGTCTATGAAATCGCGGTGTTTTTTGTTTCGTTTCCGTTTCGGAAGAAACAATGCAACGAGAGTTTTGTTGCGTTTTCGGAATGTGTAAACAAATTTTTTCGCGTTTTTCATTTGTTTTTGTGAGGGGTCGTTTGTTTTATATTTTTTTGTTTTCGAAGTTCTTTTGTTCTGTGATACTCATTTTCTTCGTTGTGGACGAAGAAATTTTCGTTTTCTTGTTGTTTTCAATGAGTTTGGGTCTGGTGCACGTTAAATTTTTTTGTATTGTGACTAGATCCACACTCATTAAAAAAAACATGGGAAATACATACTAAAAAAATGGAAGCTTTGAATGAAGAAAGGAAAAAAAAATTTTTCTTTTTGTTGCAAATTTGTATCGGTGAGTAGGATCTGGTTCGTGGAGTTTTTAAAAATCATGACTAGATCCATACTCGTCTATTCATGTTTGCTAGAAATTTTTGGGGTTATTAAAAAAATTGTACTTAACCTTAAATTCGATAAAGTTTGTTTTATTATTATAAATAATTATCAAAGAATAAAAATTAATTTTAAATCATTAAATAGGCCTTTTTTTTAGTTCATACTCTTTATAAAGAAAATAAATTTTAATTTTTATGTTTCAGAAAAAGAAGGAAATTGAAAATGTTGAAGTTAATGGAGGTGATAAAATCGTTTTTGAACCTAAAAGTAATAACAAAGTTGAAAATGAATTTGAAGAGTAAGTATATTTTGAAATTGAAGGAGGGTTGCAAAAAGAAATAATTCTTGGTATGAAATCACCTTTATTTTTGATAAGAATTATCAAAACTCTTACTAATTAGTTTGTGAAATACAATCCTTTTAAGCATAAAAGAATTTTTTATGTTGAGAGTAACAATTTGTTATAAAAATCATCTCCAAAATTAACCCTGCATGTTTATTCACACCAACAAAACATAATTATAACAGAAAACATAAAAAATAATAAATGTATATACAGTGCTGTGCAAAATAATAGGTGTGACCTGAAAAATGTATTTTAGTTGTAAAATATATAAGGGTAAAAGAGTAATACATAAAATTAGAACTACTAATTGATTGTTTCTCAAAAAAAACATTATTCAATAACAATTCAACAATAAAAAATAAAAGAACACTTTAACGCCTTTGCAAAATAATAGGTGCATGCATTAAATTAATAAAAATAATATGGTTTTACTGAAAAATAAAAGAAAAACGGTATAATACAACATTTAAAATTAATATTTTATTGTCTGCGGTTTTTTAGCGCTGTTGCGCATTGACTAGTCATGGACTCCATTAACCAGAGCGACACCTTTCCAAATTCGACTGCACTCCATAAATCCTTTTTAATTAAGTAACGTTTATTACCAATTGCTACATCTCCCCATAGATGCTCAATTGGATTAAGATCAGGAAATTGACCTGATACATCGATTTTCCTTTCAGCAAACCAAGTCTTTGCTGCCCTGAAAGTGTGTTTGGGGTCGTTGTCTTGCTGAAACTTCCACCACAGAGGCATATTGTCATCAGCATAGGGCAACATGGTATTTTCCAGTATGTTGATGTAGCCATATTGATTTAAAGTGCCCTGTCTCTAAAAAATTGGGCCAATTCCATACCAGCTTCAAACCATTATGCTTCCCCCACCATGTTTTATTGTTTTGTGGGTGTACTGCTCAGATCTTTGAGCGATTTCGGCTTAATTAGTCAAAAGATATACAATTTCACCTGATAAAGTCGAACCTGTTCTAACTAAGCTTTAAAGAAGTTGCTTTGCTTTTTCTTTTAGTTGTTGATATTTGACATGTGCTAAAGATTAAGCTATGCTACGTAGTGCTTAACTAGATTAACCTCTTGTAAATAAACAATTAATAAAGACATATGATTTAGTACTTATTTAGTATAACTAATCTAACTGTATTATAATCACAGAATAACTTATTCTGTGATGATACCAAAATACGTGTAAAATTAAAATGAGTTGTATCAAAACAGAATTATGTCGTCGTCTACTGAACAGTTTAGGCCAAGTTGACTTGTACCTAATCTTCAGATCATCTCTTTCTTAGGCGTCCCACTGATCGTCTTCCTCTTGGTTTTTTTTTTACTGCACTGCCAATTTTGGTATTCTGTCATACTGCATTCTTTGCACGTAGTCTACCCATTTCTCTTTGTATTCTTTGATTTTATCGTTAACTGTGAAAAATGCCAGTTCCTCTCTAATATCTTCGTTTCTAATATGATCCGATTTGTTACAGCTCTTGGTCGCTCTCAGAGACTTCATTTCCGCGGACTGTATCTGCTTAGGTTTTTCCTTGTCACCTATGCTTCGCTCCTATAGTTCAGGGTTCGATATTGCCATTGTCTTATAAAGTTAATTTGTGTATCCTTCCTGCATTTATTACCCAAAGTTGTTAAATTTACTAAAAGTGTCAATATCCTATGAATGTCATTGTTTTTGTCTTAGAGATTTCGCATTTGTAGTCCCTACTTATGGTATTAAGCAAAGATACGGCTTTTTGAAGGTTATCTTCTGATGTAGCAACAGAATTATGTGTACTACATTATCAAAGAGTAAGAAATATTATATGACCAAAAAAACAATCCCTAACATATGATGTTTTGGAGTGGCACGTCTCAATTAGAAAAATAATTGAACGATTATCCAAAACATTCAATGATTTTCAATTTCTTGAATATAAGTATTGCTAGAATTCATAGTTTTTGACACCATTAAAGAACGAATTTATTTATTCATCAACATTTTCTTTCATATAAATTAAGACTTTATTTTTCTTCAACTTAGGAAAATATTAATACAATCTTACTTTGAGCGATCTGATTCTGGACAAATACTTCTAACCCATGGTCCAGATTTAACAGAAAGATTTACACAAACAAATCAAAAAACGACTGTAAAGATTCTTTCGGATTCGATGTGGTATAATCCGGAAAAGTTTCGATTTCTACACGCAACACAAGTAAAAATTGCGGACGTTTTTAATGACACTATCGATTCTTTAACAAATTCGATTCTAACCAAATCAAATTTAAATAAAAATGATGTAAGTTTAAAACAAGATCAAAATTCATTTAAATCCATTAATTAAACATTATTTTTGCAGGAAAATACAATTTGTTGTGGAAGAATTACTTCGGAGGATATAAATAAATTAAATTTAAATACCGTAAAATTAGAATCTTCTTTTAATAATAAAGGAGCCAAAACTAGTTTGATTAATATTAGTCAAACGAAATCTTTTAGTTTATTTCCTGGTCAAATTGTTGCTGTTGATGGTTTGCCTGGTAAAGGTAATAAATTTATAGCAAAGACGTTTTACACGAAAACCAATTTGGAATTTTCAAGAAACGAAAGAGATCTCGGTGAAGATTATTTACAAATCGTCGTAGCTGTTGGACCATATACAACGGCTGATAACTTTTTATACGAGCCATTACAAGATCTTTTAAAATACGTCGTCGAAATAAAACCGAACATTTTAATTTTACTCGGTCCATTTCTTGATTTTTCTCACTCTCAAATGATTAATATGACCGAAACTTTTCAATCTTACTTTGATAATTTAATCCAAACCATAATGGAATGTTTTAAGTAAGTTTTAATTTAAGATATTTTTTTATTTATTTTTGGTTACAATTTTAGTTTTGAAATTAAAGTTGTTTTGGTTCCTTCCGATAAAGATGCCAATCATTTTCCGATTTTTCCTACACCGTCTTATGATATTAAAGAAAAATATCCGAACTTAATTTGTGCCCCAAATCCATGTTTGTTGGATATTAACGGGATTGTTATTGGGACGAGTTCCATGGATATTTTATTTCATTTATCAAAAGAAGAAATAGCCAGGTATACATATTTTTAGGTTTTTTATTGTTAATATAATACACAATTTATTTTTTAGAAAGCCGAATAATACAGATAGAATGGCTCGGTTGGCATCTCATTTAATTGAGCAAAAATCTTTTTATCCGTTATATCCAAACGATAATGATTCTACTATAGATTATACAAGCTTGTTGAAGAACTGTGAAATGAAAGTAAAACCTAACATTTTAATTACACCATCAATTTTGCGATATTGTATTAAAGATCTTGGTGGTTGTTTATTTGTTAATCCAGAAAGACTAGTTAAAAATTATGTTGGTGGTACTTTTGCTGTTATTAATGTTAATTCAAATGATATTTCTTGTCAAATTAGAAAAATTTAGTTGTAAATAAAAATTATGTTAATCAAAATTGTTTTAATTTTAATCATAGTTTATTGTAAGGAAATTAAAAGTTCATTGAAAGAGGAGAGCTTGCCTGGTATACTGATGCTTCAAAGACAGTTGGATACAGAGTAGGTATGGGCATTAGTTGACCAAATAGCTGCATTAAATTGCCACTCAGCTCTTTTTGCTATAATCTTCTACACCGTTTTAAACTTAGAAAAGGGACAGAATGTAGTAATGGGCACTATCGAATAATTCGATACATAATTAAAATAAAAATATCGAAAGTAAGCTATTCATTGAGTCATTTAACAAGAGTCGTCTGACAGTATTAATATAACATACTAAACAATATTATAAATATATTACTTAAAATAGATTTCAGAAAGTCTGTTTCAATGTTCATTCATAATTTGGCCGTATATATTTGTGTGGCGCATCGAAAATTTAATTAGATTCTGAGTTTGTGTTATAAGAGACATCTCTAAATATTCTCTTACAATCAAAGTTGCGTTCGTGCTTGTTGTTGAACCGTTTTTCAAAGTGACAACTCGATCAAAATGGTACCAATGTTTTTTTTCATCATCGATATTGTTAGTTACAATTTCAACTGTCTCACTTTTATTTTGCAAAATAGACGACATTTCAGTAATAATTAATTTTTGCACTGTGTCTGTATTTTCCTCATCACCAAATGCAGCTTTTTTAAATCTGGAATCGAAAACCTTTGCTTTTGAACAAAGATTTGATTCTAAAATACCAAGTCGTCTTCTAACATTAATTTGTAAAGCAAGTTTTAAACGTTCTACTGGTTGTTTCTTATAGCGAAATGGTTGCATATTTCCCACCTGACAATTCAATATTCATCTTTCCAAATGGTTTCAAGATGGAGACTAAGTCTGTCAACATATCCCATTGTTGCTGTAATGAATTCTGGAGCTCATGGTAACGATGTTATAGCAGCTGATAGTGGGTTTTTATCGCTAAAAGTTTTTCTGTTATAATTAAAGAAGAATTCCATCTAGTAGACATCTTGTTTCACTTTTAGCTCAGGGTATCCTATTTCTGTTTGCATACTTTTTAATTTTTCAAATGCCACTATGCTGTGCTTAAAATGAGCTACATTTCTTTATCAGTTGCAATACCGGTTTCCTTGAGTTTATGGCATCTAAAATTTAAAAATAAATTAAACGAAAAACTGTCAAAATATCATGTCCTAATAAAAATATAACCGGTTTCCGGCATTTCGCGGCAAATTCCCTTTCTGATGGGCTAATAAAATACGGGGCATAATATTTAAAATTTTCACTTTCTTGCCATTGAATACGGAAAATAGGTATAGCAGACGCCACGAAAGCTGGCAGTAAATCATCGTTTTCCGCTCTTACAAATGCCATACGTAGTTCACAAACCGCTAGAGAGTAATGTGTGTTAGAAAGAGATAGCAATAGTTTAATATGTCTGCTGTACAATTCAAATGGCCACGTCGAAAAAGTACGTCTGTTCTTCTAAGGGATGTCACTTTATAATTATAACCTCAAATCGAAACGTCTTGTCAGCGTTGTCATGAATCTGTTAGTGTTTTCACAAGCCGAAAATGTTTTGTTTGAAAGGAAAATCATTAAATAATATCTTTGACGTTTGACATATAACCACCGTTACTAACATAACCTACATTTAAATGTATGTGGTGACATAATCAAAGTCGTACGTCCATATCTTGATCAATCTTGATTCATACCATTTTTAAGCGATCTGTCACTGCCAGCTCTCGTGGTTTCTACAATATTTAACTTTTTGACCATATGTACAAGATACTGTGACACGAAAATGACAATCTATTTGACAACATTTGAAGAGTAATCGTACCAATTCAAAGCTTCTTTGAATGAACGTTTGCTGAGATATCGAGTTTTAAAGAGCATAGTGAAAATTGACAAGAAAAATTTAAAATCAAAATAACTCGAAAACGAAAAGCGCTAGGTACCAATAACTTTTATGAAAGTCAACTTATTTTTTCGCATATAATTAAAAGGTGCAATAAAAACTATAGCAATATATTTAAAATAACGAAGTTGTGATCTTCCGACCGGAAGTGGCCACCATCTTGAAAATATTTTAGATCGAAAGGTCGGTGTGAACCTCCCACATAAACTAAATTTCAGAAATATAGATGCAATGGAATAGAAGTAAAACGGGTGTTGCTGACTTTTTGGCGGACACTGTATTTAAAGTATGCGCAAAACGGATGATATCTTTTTTTAGGTTTGTCAATTATTGCATTTTTTATATTAGCACCGTTGTCACTAACAATGGTAATTATTTTATCCTGAATTTCCCAAACATTGAAAGGCTTCCGGTATTTCCTTCGTTGCAAAAACAGCATTATGTATTAAGTCGTTGTAAAAAAGTGACTAGTTACTGAAAAAAATGCTTTATTGCTGTCAGAAGTCTATATAACTTTTGCTAATATTATTTTAACTTTCTCACAAATTTGATCATATGTGGTAGGTAATATTTTCGAACATAACAGCTGTTGATCTTGGGTTGATGTTGAGGGATCTCCTAATTGTTGGAATTCATCTTGCTTGCGCCGTAAATGGTCGCGGATGTTGAACGTGTTACCACTGAATTTTTGAAGGTGAAACATTTACACAGACAGTCGGGGCGCCCTAATGGCAATTCAGGTCTACACGTGTGACTCCGCACTGATTAGAGAGTGTATCAGCAACCTGAGAGAACTCGCGATAATGTTACCTACTCTATGGTGGGTTCCAGGTCACAAAGACATTGAGGGCAATAAAAAGTTGGCTAAAGAGGCAGTGAAAACGTCCTTTCTTGGACCCCAACCTAGCAGTGGACTACAAAAAAGCCACTTAAAACAGGCAATCAATAATTGGGAGGCCACAAAGGTAACCTTGAAAAGGTTTTCCAGGTCACAAGTATGATAATTCCGTCGCAAAACAAAACCAAAGAGGTTTTATACCTCATCAAAGGCGATCTAAGGTCGCTCTCAGGCTTCCTGACCGGCCATGCGCTCCTAAAATACTACCTCTTCCATATTGGACAAGCTGAGGATCAAACTTGTTGACTTTGCAACAATGATTCAGAGACTTCTGGACATATACTGTGCGAATGAGTCGCCTAAGACACAAAATTTTCGGTAAAGTTCGCCTGAGACCTACCAATATAAAGGAAGCAATACTAAGGTTCAATCTTTGGAGGGCTTCAATTGCAATAGACCTTATAGATCACTGTGAAGAGAGGGGCCATTCCCCTCAGTCCAACAGCAATAATAATTTTTTATTAATTATAACAATTTTAATATTTTTTAATAACACAATAATAACAACCGTTTTATACAACTTATACAATTTTTATTATCTAATTTTAACATTTAATTGTTCACTAGCACTTTTCTCAATTTCTTTATGAATAATATTAACTTCATCTTGACTTAAAGTTTTCGCCATATGTCGATAAGTAATTTTATAACAATGACTTATTTTCTCATTTTTTGGATGTTTAAATTCATCGATTAAAGAAACTTGTTCGATCATATCTCCTCCAATATTTCGTACCAAATCATAAAAATCATTGCTTGAATACCCATCAGGTAACCAAAAACTAATATCATTGTTGCACTGAGGAAATTGACTAATTGCTTTATACTCAATCTGTTTATAAATATCATCCGTTTTAAACTGATTCAAAAAACCAGAATCCTCAGACCAAAATAATCGTATATCGGGAATGTTGTATAAACACATTGCGATTCTTTCTAATCCTAAACCGAACGCCCATCCAATTCGGTCGTTTACTCCTGAATTAGATAAAATGTTTTGTTTCATTATTCCGCAACCTAAAATTTCCATCCATTGCTCTTTATGCCAAACTTCTAATTCCCAAGATGGGTCTGTAAATGGAAAATATGTCTCCACCCATCGTTGCTTAACATTACCAAACAATTCTTTTGCTAAACCTTCTAAAGTTGATTTTAAATCGTGTTCCATAACTTTAACAGCTTCTAAAGTATGACAGGCTTGTTTCGGCTGACTTCTAATCCCATTTGTATTATTTCCTTTTTCAAATAACGATAACGATTCATCTTGAGGAAAAACTTTATCTCTTGTTTTTAATAAAACCCCATCAACTTGATGAAAAACTGGATAATGAGTTCGATCAATTTCATCCCGTCTATAAACATCTCCTATCACCAGAAAAGCATTTAAACCAGATTGAATTAATTCAGATTGATGTGCAGTTGTGTGCGCTCTCAGCAAATAATCTTTATTTAAATAATAACAGTCGCTTTTAGACCGCGAAGGGTGATCTTTTGGTATCAATAAAGAGTCAAAGTTTTGGTCCGTTGTTACAATTGGAGAAATATTTTCGTGCATAGAAAAAATAGGATTTCCACGATTCGTTACAAATCTTTTATAAAAATAATTAACAATTCTTTGTCTTACCATCGATAGAGGGTGATATTTTTGAGTGTGGATGTTTTTACCGATGTGAGAAAGAATTTTTGGGGTTATATTTGTAAAATCGTCATTTTTAAAACTTACGTTATTTATTACTAAATCAGTTTTTACATTCGGTTTTGCAACAGATGATAAAAGCCGAATATTATTTCTTTTGGGGTAAATCTTTAAAATATATCGAATTTCTAACATTTTTTTTACACAGAGATTTTTTAGGTTATTTTGGTTATTGACATTGACAGGTTAAGTAATATGTGTGGTTCGATTGAATGTAATTTTTTTATTAGTTTAAATTATAAAAAATTAAAAAGAGTATAAATAATAAATGTTGAATTTTATTACAATTTTAATTTAAATATAAGTTTATTTGTTTAATTAAAATTTATTTTTATTATATGATTTTATAGGTTAGAAATTAGTTGTCAAAGTGACATTTAAATATGAATCTTTATTATCATTATTCTTTATTTATCTTTACTTTTACTTCCGCTGACGTCGGAAAGCATAAAACATCTTTATGAAAATAGACTTACAACGAAACTAAATAATGTAGAACCAGAAAAAGAAGTGAGTAGAATAATTCAGAAGACGACCTACAAAAACAACTTTACAAGTTCTACCAAAGGAGCAAAGAACTGAATATGCTGGTCTCTACTGATAAAAAAATGCATGGTGCAAAGGAGCCAATAAGGTTCAAATTGAAAACACTCCCATCAAGCAGATCATGCAGTTTGTCTACCTGAGCATACAAATTTCCAGCTACAATGATTTTGTTAAAGACCTAAGATCACAAACTAATAAGGCAGTAGCAATATCAGGCGTCTTAAGAGACATTGTTTGCTCAAACAAATACATAAGAATCGACGCAAACAAAACCAAGAGTTTACTAAGAATAGCTGAGATGAAAACATTATACACTACCACACATGAAGAATCATAAGATAGTACCTTCAAGAAGTTGGTATTTCCAAAATGGGCTGGTCTAGGGCATTTATTCAATTAAATTAACACATCAATAACTTAATACTTTTATTTATAATTATAATCTTAATTCTAATTAACTAATTCAAAATAACCATATTCAACAAAATCGGTTATAACGTCTCTAACCCTTCCTTTATAATAATCATCATTTCGTACGCTTGTATCGAATATATCATCAATATCAGAAGTTTTAGCTCCTGTAGGAAGTTGAATAACATCACCTTCCTTCTCCAAAACAATATGAAGTACCATAATAGCCATGCAAAGTCCGAAAATCGAATATCGTTTCATCTCCATTTGGAGGACGTCGAATGGAAGGACCTTTTCCGGATCTAATCCGAATTCGGACAAGTGGCTACATAAAGAATAATGATAGGCTTTTAATAATTGCTGTAAATGATTTTTGCGGAAAGTTTTATCCGTGAAAATGAAGATAAATTGTGATAAGTCGAAAGCTGGGGAGCCGTATCTTAAATATTGCCAGTCTAATATGCAAAGATCTGATGGAATTGTTGCATCGTCATGGTTCTGAAAGAAAAATTTGAATAAATGTTTAAATTCTAATTAATCATTTCATGTTAAATTATGATCAATTAATCATATTAATCATCACACGTTAAATTATTATCAATTTATCGCAATCTCCCAGTAATAATGAGATTTTTTATTTATCTCAGGTTATCTTATGTCTAATAATAAAAATACTTACATCATATTTGAATAAGAAATTCTTTAAACTTGCATCTCCATGAGTAATAACAGCATATGATCCAATAGCGCCCATTTTCATTGCTTGCAATTGATACTCAAAAGGTTTTTCCATAAATTTACTAAATAATTGTATGGCTCGTCTATCTTTCGTTGGATTTAACGTTTCAAAAGCTTTTTTACAACATTTTTTTTGTTGGTTACTAATGGCAGCAATATTTATATTTGCATTAAACTTTTCTTTTGTATATTCAACAATTTTTTTATACTCGTTTGGTTTGTATTCTCTCAAAGCGTAAGATAGGGCATGTAATTTACCATAAGTTTTCATGACATAAATTGCGTGTGGGAGATCAAGATTTTTGTTAAAATCCCAAGATTGATATCCTTTCAATGTCATGTTATCCATTAATAGTGATTCTTGAAGGGTTTCATTACAAGTGAAATAAATTTTAGGAATATTAACAAATTCTTCATAAATATTATGTTCTAAAGATAACTGTTGATATAAAGGTAGAAGTTTTTCGTAAACGAAAATTTCTTTTTTAAATAATTTATCAATTTGGGCGTATTTTCTTAAAGCATCCGTTGATGGGGCAACTTTAAAAATATAACTTAAATCTACCTGACCGTCCTGTTTATCATTTTTTCTTGCAATCACTTTGAACATTACACCCAAAAAATTTTTCAAATCCAATTGTTCGTATTTAACGTTGGTGATGTTTTCATCGAAAAAGAATTTTTCAAGTCGTTTTATTAAAATTGGATTAATATTTTGGGTGTTGGCCATGGTTGATTCACTTTATTAAATCAGAATGAATTATTGCTAAAAATTTCACACAATTTTAAGTTACGTAAGATTTTTGAGATTACACGTATTTTAACAACAATTCAAACTGAATTATTAAAACCAAATGATTGCTTCAACAACCGTTTTTATATTTTATTATCGACTGGAATATCGATAACGTTTATTAATTTATGCCTTTTTATCTTTTCTGGTGATGGCTTAACTTTGTTATCTATAGTGTGACTTTTTTTGAGGGGGCTTTTAATCCACATTTTTATTTCTAGATTTGATTGGCGTTCAATCGATGTGATTATAAGCGCCGGGAGTTTTGTAACTTTTATCATCATAATGACAACTTTGTTTTACTATTTCTAGTACGCATCACGCAAAATGAATTGTAAAATTATAAAAAAATTAATTAGTACAAATCGTATCATTTTTTACAAATTTTAATACTTATTAAGATAAATTAAGCCATAAATTGAAAATCTTATCAAAACATTATATTTTGTTGGTATGATTTTCACTTTTTACGCCATAAAAGGAATGGAATATTTTATGGTTTATAACTAATTAATGTATTAATTCAAAAATGCTTTAATCGAATATGTCAAAATCTTATTTCGTACAGTTTTAGTTAATTTTTATGGCCTCGCCATGCAAATAACCTGTTTGATCAATAATACTGAAAATTTTATACCTTGACAACAACAAATTTGTTACTGTCAAATACTTTGAAGTGTTTCAAATTTATAAAAAAATATATAAAATGGTTCGTATAAATTTGAACTTTTCGAAGACCCAATCATCGTAAGTATTTTCTTTTTAGTTGCACTTGAACCTGGATAAATGGAAGCTTCATATCTATTTTTATTTATATATATTTTTAGAAAGTTCCTTTAATAATATTTTTTTTAATTACAATTCCAGTTGGGTAAAGTTTGGTGTAATAAACAATATGTGTTTTGTTGGAAGAGATGTGGTCGGCGTCGGAGACGGTTGTTACATCGCATTTTACAATTTAAGTACGAAAGAAGACATCGTTTATACCGCGATTGACGATGACCACGGCCATGGAGTTAAATGTATTTGTGGTCACAAAACTAGTACCCTTTTTGCATTTGGTGAAAAAGGACTGCATGCAGGAATCTATGTCGTACGTTATCCCGATTTTGAAATACAAGCAGTACTTCCACGTGAGAAAACAAATTTCTAATTATTCTCAACAATATTTAAATAAAAAACATTGTCAAAATTCTAGCATCCGACGATGGATTGCTTTGTATGACGTTCTGCGAAGGAAATTATATAGTTTCTTTAGGCGATTTACCCACTTTTGAACTTTGCGTTTGGAATTGGAAAACTCTCGAGAAACTTGCAACTTGTAGGACCGACATTTTCGTAGCAAAACAATTGTTGAGGTTAGTAATTAAAAGAAAATTATTAAAAATTTTCTTTAAAGATTTTCTTTTAAAGATCTAGTTATGGTGCTCCGACTTATTTAGCTCAAATGAGCATAAACGAACGTTTTTTAAACATTTGGGACGTTTTGATTTGCGGAAAACGCTGCTTAATCAACCAACACAAAGTTGTACCATTTATTTATCACCAACAATTTGCAGCCGTTCAGTTCACATCAGAAGGAGCTATTTTTGTTCAAGATGTATTAGGCGATATCTACATGGTGATTAATTTAGTTTAGAACAATTCTTAATAATTATGCTTATTTTTTAAGGTGAATACCGAATACAAATTAGATTTAGTAATACAATGGGGCGCAGTTGGAAATTATCGATGCAGCTTAACTTGGTATAAAGGTGGAATATTAGCAAACGGGCCAGATAGCGAATTAAGAGTAATTAATCTTTTTTTACGATTTTAAAAATTTCGCAATTTATTTTTTTAGCACTACAAAAAATCTGGGAATTGGATATGCGATTGGAAAATAAAATTAACCGTACCTGTTATTAAAGTTTTAGCAAGCATTCGAGACAATTTGATAGCTTTAAATGAATACGACGATATACTTTACTTCGATAACCATCTTAACGATTTCGTAACGTTACGGGAACACGAAAGCTTTTTCAACGATTTTTGTATCCTTTATCCTGTTGGCGAAATTATCGTAACTATGGCGCGGAACCAAGAGATTACAGCTTGGGAAGTTTCGACTGGAAAGATGCTCGATTCGATGACGCTTGGCGGTCCAGCGTTGTCCATCGCTGAAAATCCGAATTATCCTTATTTTGCGGTCGGATTTGGGCATGGTATGCTACAGCTTTTCTCCATGTATAAAGCGACCACGATAAAACTTCTGGCATCGTTTCATTTGACAAGGAATTCTTTGTCGAAGGTTGCTTTTGTTGAATCTGGTATGTTACTTATTGCTGCTGATATGTCTATCGGAGAATTTTTTGTTATTGAGGTAAGCTGAAAACATTTTTAAATATAAGAAACAAATCTAAAAAGTTTAAATGCTTATTATACAGTGATACAAGATTTTTTATATTGTTATAGGGTAGACCTGGATCAAAAATGCAAATAGTAGCAACTTGTTGCGCAAACAGACAAATCGCCGATTTTATTTTGGTGGCATCACAAACTTGTTTTCGTTTGTTTGCTTTAAACGTTACCTCAGATAAATTCATAGCAGGAAATGTTATTACAAGATTTTGTGTGATACGAGATAAACCATGTCCGAACGTAAAAGATTATTATATAGAAAACAATAATTTATACACGAAATTATACGCAAATGAAACTCCGCTTCGTGACAGAATTTTCTACGCTCAACCAATAAATAGTAAAAGTCTTCATGAACTTGAAGTACGTCGTGGTCACGATTATGCGAGATTCACAAACAAAATTCATAGTAAACACCAAATGAGAAAAATTATTTATAATTTTTCGGCTAATTCGATTATATCGTACGGTTATGATGGATTGGTCATAACAATGGATAAGAATTTCGAATTTAAATACTGCATTATGATTCATCATCGATTAGATGGTGGTATTGTTAAAGCGTACGAAGATCCATTAAGAAGTCAGGTGATCGCATTAGGAAGAAATAATACTCTATGTTGTTTAAATATGACAGACATTAAAGTCACCGAAGACCAACGTAACGCATTACGTGCGAAATTGGACGATGAAAAAATGGTAACTATGTTCCAAATGCCGACGTTTGGATTTTTACCAAAAGGTGATTTGGCGGGAAAAACATGGCTCGAAGTGGAAGAATTAAAACTGTATAGTGATGAATTTAAAAAATGCGAAGAACAGAAAAGCGCAATTATGAAACGATTTAAGTTAGTTAAAAGCGAATTAAAAAAGTTGTTGACGAAAAATCAACAAGGTCCGGAAAACGAACTTCTGGATATTCAAGATTTTAATTTGGACTTGGAATTCAAAAACCAAATGATCGCGGATAACGTTATAAAATGTAAAGAAACCAAAATTTACTTGGAAGCCTTGATTGTTGCCCAAGATAATGTCTCAAAGTGGATTAAAAGTTATTGTTGGGATCCGATGAAAGTTCCAGGCAAAACCATTTTTGGAATCTTTTCGGCCATCGATGTCGAAAATTACACTTTATTACCTGACGATAAAGGACAAGAACAAATCCTGAACTATATTGAGCAATATCGGGACATTGAAAAACTAATGGCCAGTTGTGACATTTTTGAACCATGGAATCCAATAGATCCTGAGTATTAAAAAACACACACAGAACTTACATTTTTATATCACCATAACAAAAGATAGTTTTTTCATGAGGGTTATACTTAATTTTATAGATAATTCAATTAATTGAGTTAGTACAGTAACTGCTTCAACTTTGTAGGTGGTACTTTTGTATTCGTTACAGATACAGATCGCTGAGAAATTTGACTTGTAATTTTTTTCACAATTTTACAGCGCCAAAACGTTTTGGAAGTCATTGCCGTTTAAATCTTTTTGCAGATATTCAAGATATTCTTCATTAAATACTAGATCATCATCTGTGGCGCTACAATCTCGCGTGTATCTTGACCTCCCAAAGTTTCCTCCATCATTCATCCTTATTCCGTGACCTGTCCTCCAGCCTATAAATCCACCTTAGCCATGTCTCCTGTTATCCCGAAGAGTTTAGGCCTTCCTTGTGGTGTAATATGCATAATCCTTCAAGGCATATATGTATCTGGTGTTCGTTCCAAATAGCCTATGAAATTTTTTCTACCCTCACTGATAAAACTATAATCCTATAAACAACTATTTTATAACTAATAACTAAAATCAATTACTTTTTTATAGCGATTTATGGGAATTCACCAAAAAAGCTCCGTGCATTGCTAAAGAACAAGAAGAACAAACCATTATGGATGATATTGATAATGATACCGATTTAGTGCAGGAAGATGCCGATACGTATCCATCCAAAGAAACTCAAGCCGCGTTAATGGGCTCATCGACTCATCAATTTGTCGATCTGATACCAGGACATTACGATCAGAGACAAATTCAAACATTTTATCAAAGCGAATACGAAACTTTATTATTAAAAGTATAGCAGAAGAGAATGAATATCATAGTCTACTTTTTCTTAATTTGAAAAAAATATCTTTTAGGCGGAAGAAATTAAATTGATGAAATATTTTAACAAAGAATTCGACGCTGTTATGGCAATTAAACAAAGAGACATGAAGAATTTGCTCGACAGAAACGCTCGTTTAAGGGTTATCATATCGGAATTAAACTTTTTTACCGAACAACAAACCGATATTTTTGTTGTCGATCCAGTTTGGGATCAAAAAGAGGAACCAGATAAAATTTTGGAAGTCACCGATGATGAGGTTAGAAAAAAATCTCTATTAGCACTAATATTTTCTACTTTTCCACCATTACATTTCATTTAATATAACAACAAAAGAAGCTGTTAAAATCTATATTTCTAGATGATTATAATTCTAGATAACCATAACACCATACATTTCACCAAGTCAACAAGCAATTTTGGATGCCGAAGCGGCTGAACGCGAACGAATTCGTCTTTTATTGTTAGCAGACGATTTTAAAGAACGTGCTTTAATGAGAATGATGAACGGCGTTTTGGAAATTCGTTGGGAAGATGAATTAAGAAAAGATGTTCCGTTACCGAAATGCGTTATTGAGAAAAAACCGGAAGAGTTTAAGGAGGATGATTTGCGCGCCATCAGAGACTATGAAGAAGCGGTGAAATTTTTGGAAAGCGAACGATTACGTTATCGACGAATGTTGTGCGCTGAATACGGTCAATTAGGAACGTCAGTACGTGAAAGCGTTGTTAAGTTTAACAATCGAATTGGAGAATTGTTATTAGAAAAAATTAAAGTCGATGCCGCTATCGATGCTGAATGTTTGAAAATACATCGAATGAGAATAATTAATATGAAAAAAATTGAAAGCAATGAAAAGGAAAAGGAGCTTTTGTATAAATCTTTTTATGTGTAAAGATTAATTACTTATTTTATACGAATTTTAGACAGGCGATTAGCAATAATGATCAACTTCTGGAGGAATTGCAGAAATTAATAAGTACTCTTCCGGAAAGTATCTCGGAGATTAACGTTGTTATGGATGCTTTACACGCTAAAGAGAAACTGCTTGAGAAGGTTTTCCGGCGGGATATTCAAGATGTTAGTCCAGCTGCTCAAGAAGTAGCTATTAAACTTTATAAGTAAAAAAAATCCTCATTAAAGTTAAAACGTTACATTATTTTTTTTTGTTAATAGAAAAAGACCAAAAACTAATTTAAAAACAATTACTACAGCATACGTTTTACAAGAACTTGCTCGATGCGTTGTAACCAAAGGACGTTCTGCGGTTTTAGGAACAGAAGCTTTAGAATTTTTACGAGCAATGGACAATATGGATTTATATGTAGGAATTCCAAATGCCGTTGATGAACATTTATACGAAGTTGTTTGTAAAAATAGAAGGTTAAAAATTGAAAGCGAATTAAAAGTAAGTTATTATTAATAGTAACACAGATCTGTGTTCAAGGTTTAACTAATTTTCTGCGTAGAATTATAATCCGATTTTGAGATATCTCAAAATCATAATGATGATGGTCCAATTCTAAGTTCAGATTCTGATTCCACACAGAAAATTACTTCGGAAATGATCGTCAGCGATCCAACAACAATCAACACAAATTATTTTTGTACTAAATATTTTTAATAGATTCGTGGAACATCATTAGATATTGCAGAAGCGGAATCAACAGTGGCAGCTTATCAGAATATGTTATTAAAAAAGAAAGAATATGGTAGGCAATTACAAAGCGATTTAGCAACTTTAAGAAATGATAGATTAAATGCCGCCGAAAATATGGAATTACAATTGATGATTAAACAAGGTTACGTTGAGTTAATTCAAACTGGAAGTATTTCCGATTTTTCCGATGCCATTTTAATATGTAGAAAAGATGTGGAGGATATCAATGATATTATTTTGGTGATACCGTTAATTTACAAATAAAAACGATTTTAATAACTTTTTAAATTTATTTAGAAAGGTGGTAATAGAAAATTAAAAGTAATGCGAGATGGTATGGCGTTTAGAAGAGGTATCTTAGCAATGGAATGGACTCATAAAAAGATGAAAATGCAAATTACTGATTTAGAGCACTACTTAAAAGAAATCGAAGCCGTCCAAGTAAAAATTGAATAGGAATCTTCACCAAGTTTAATTTTCTTTAGTTTTCATCTTTATAGGTTACAAAAGATGTTCAACAGTATTTACGAGCGAAAGCAAGGGGCGATTCCCCCGATAAAGGGATAACTTTTGAACAAGAAGTTCAGTTGGTTAAACGTTCCTTTGAAAGAATCATCGAAGAAAGGCGACAACAAGTCCGCGAAATTCAAAAGAAAATTGTTTCAATTCGTAAAAACTCAAAAATCATCGACAAACAAATTTCGGATATAAATGTTGACGTTTGTGAACAAAATCTTATAATAGATCGTGAAGTTTTAGAAAAAGAAAAGGAAGTTGTTCAACAAAGGTATTCTTCTACAAAACCATATTAATAATAATATAATTCGCTATTTTTTTTTAGAACTAATGCTTTGATAAAACGTACAAAATTAATCAAACAAATTCAAAGCAACCACAACGAAATTTTAGTTTTACAAACAGAATTGGAATTACTCAGATTAAAAACATATCCAACATTAAAATATAAGATATTTGAATAAATTATGGAGATGATTTTAACTTAACATATAAACAATGCCAAATTGGGCTAAAAATTTCATCAACCCATATTTTTTAATAAAAGATGTTTAAAAAAAATTAAATTGAGTTAAAATTCTAAAGTACTTTGTAAATGTCTTTGAGTAAAAAATTCGTGTCGTCGTTTAGCAACGGATTTTTTCTTTGTTGGTGAAAAAAACGAAGTGATGCTGGAGTTTTTTAAAACTTCTCGACTTCCATCATCTTCATCTATATGTTCCCATTCGACGTAATAAGTTGATTCATCTAAGATCTTCTCAGCGGTTGACCAACTAAATCTTACTAAAGATGGAAAACCAAAAACCAAATCGCAATTTTCCGCAAGAAACTTTTTCGTTATTGGATCTAAAAAAATTTTGAAATAAATTAAATTAATTTTTCATTCATATTTTTTACCTCCTGGATATCCACTTCCGAATCCATCTTTCGGCGTTTCAATTTCATCATGAAAATCCCATACTTTTAATGCATGATCACGGGTTACTTTAGCACAAATACTAGCAGCCGAAACGATTGGATAAGTTGAATCAGCTTTTTTCGCCACAGTAATTTTATATTCAGGAAAAATACTTAAAAGATAATCTTGATATTTTTCTGGTTTCCCCACTGTATCTACATAGATATGCTCAATGTTAACACCAGCTGATTTAGCTGCTTTAATTAAACCAATCGCTGAATCCATTGAAACTTTATTTAAAGAATGCTTACTTCTACTCAGCATGCAATTTGATATGTAATTTGGCGAAATCACATCAATAGCCCAACCTATATGGGATTCAGCACAAATCTTTTCGAAAATCATTTCTCTAATTTCTTCTGTTAAGACTTTTGAGTCGGCACATTGCAGTTCTAAAAGTTTACCTACTTGGTTAGTTGGGCAAAAAGCGGTGCCATAAACCATCGGACCTATATTTTTTTAATATAATCATTTATTTAATTTATTTTATGTTATTTATTACCTAAAACTGGTCCTCGTCCTGCTTCATCAATACCCAAAACACACGGAGATTCTTTGCATATATCAGGAATGTTTGTTATGTACTGATTGTTCTTAGAATTATCTTGATTACTTAAATATTCATCTAAAGTTTTTAAATTTGATATTTTTAAATCACTCATTGTAATGGTGTTGTAATGTATTAATAAAGAGGTATATAAAAAAGTGAGGTTAGTTTCCTTAAATTCAAACGGAAGAAATTTAATAAAATTCCGATAGATGGTGATAGGTGAGATGTCATAATTGTCAAAAGGTTATGTGAAATTTTGATTTTTGAATGGGATGTTAGGTGATTTCAGAATGCAAAAAACTAAAAGTAGATGCGATTATCGTTTATGAATCAATCTAAAATTTATTATTAAAGTAAGTATACAATGAATTCATAACATGTTTTAAACAAATATCAAGAAAAAAATTAATTTTTAAACATTCCCGCGAAATAAGTAACCATAGCAACGTACATTCGATAAAATTACAAACACAACACAAGTAGGAAGAATAGAGAGTATTTCATAACATTAATCTTTATAAAGTTGTAAAAATAGATTTTAAATATAATTTATTTACGAAAGTGGATAAAAAATAAGTACATAAATGAGTAAATCAGCGAATTCTTTAGACATTTATTTTCATATGGCAAATCATTATAGGAAATTGAACAACACTAAATCTCGAGTAAACTCTGGTTGTAAAAAGAAAACAACGATAATAGATGAAACAGAAATGAAACAGTAAGTTAGTTAATACATTTGTTGTTAAACTATTTTGTAATTTTTCTTATAAAATCAGGCATAAAAAAGGGAACTTAAAAATGGAATCTCACGGAAAAGTTGTACAGCGAAACAGTCGTCCTAAAACAAGAAGAAATTTAAGTGATATGCCTCCTCAAATGGTACTTATCAAACCGTATTTATAAATTATTTGTTATGGTGTCAAGTAATTTTGAAGTAATATTTTTAGATTACCAAATCACGAGCACAATCAAGTAAATCTAAAGGTCGTACATCAAGTGTTGCACGAAAATCAAGAGGAAAATCTGTTAGATCTGGAAGTCAATCATCAAGAAATAGTAGTAATAGTAGCAACCATGCAGCAGGGGATACTCGGTGAGCTATAAAATAAATTCCAAATTTCTTCAATTACAACTATATCATTCACAGAAATACATCTGGAGAAAGAAGTACAACTCATGGAGTTGAATCGATCATAAAAGACAGGTAAATAATGCACTAAAAGTGATTTTTTAATATATTTATTTTATTTTTTTAGTGTAAATGAACATGAATACCTACAATTTGCATTAAGAATAACTGAAGATATAATTAAAAATGATCTCTATAATTGTGAGGAGATGAAACGTGTTTTTAATAGTCACATTGAAGCAAATCGAGGTCGCTTAGAAGTGGTTTGTATTGTTAATTGTTACATCTTTCATCTTCTTATTTTTATAATACAAAACAGAATAAAATGAGAGATCAAGTGCGGAATTTAGCCAAAGAATTGAACGTTAAATTTAACGAATCAGAAATTTACACCTTGGGTCCATGGGAATCGAATAAAAATTATCCAATTTGCAGTCAAACACCTGGTGCAAAATGCGAATTAATTTATGTATCGAAAGATATGGGTGGTTTTGATGAATCTAAATCGGCGCATAGTAATTACAACGAAAATCAATATGTTAAAGTGGATAACATAAGGTATTTTTAAAATTTTTTATAAAAATTTTGAAAAAATAATGTTTGTTTTAGTAAAAAAGAAAATCAACCGATACAAGAAAAAAAAAATTGTGAAAAATATTGTAAATCAATGAATACATTACCAAAAAATAAAGACAACTGCGATGCATGCACAAATACGAAAGTTGTTGTTTTAAAAAATACATTAATACGGTAAAAAATATTTACTATAACAAAGTATTATTAAATTTATTTATTTGTGATATATAGTGGTGATACAATCGATCCTCAACCAACTGAAGATCGTGAGGTGCAAGTAAAAAGTGAAATTTTAAAAATTAAAGATACTAAATCTGCAGCTTGTTGTCAAGCCCTTGAAAAAATTTGGTTTGTTTTAAAAAATTAACGAAAAATATTTGTTTTTATATCTTTATTTATAATATTATAGGGTTGTTGATGTTGCAACTTCTGTGTCTCATCATCAACCAGCTATTATACCAGATAAAAACCGATCTAAAGCGACAGTTAACATAAATGAAAAACAAGAAAGCGATTCCTCCATATATTCGGCTGAAAAATTTATGGAAAGTTTAGAAAACGAATATCCTGTTCGTAAGTTTATTGATTTACTTTTTTTTTTTTTTTTAATGAGAAATACCTTTTTAGGCCACGAAATTCAATCTCTTATAAAAAAAGACATTACTCCTGCGATTCAAGGTAAGAACTGCAATTTTATTGTACTTGAAATAATTTGTAAATTTAACAGTTAAAACAATTTACTAGATATACATTAATTTCAATATTTCTTTAGAATTTTGAAAACTTTATCACCTTTCTCTCTGATTAACTATCAATTGAATGTTTCAAAAAAAAAGTGGCAAGAAGAAAACAAAAAAAACATGAAATACTCGATCAGTTAGAATAAGTGTTCAAAATGTCCTGTGTTTTCCCGAATACACCATTCTATCCTTTTTGCTAAAAATTGCATTAATCTTCTAAGCGGTTGAAGATCGGCTATGAGATCATTAAAGTGACGTTCAATTGTGTCTTCCACCTTGAATTTACCTCTGTAGCATTTTTCCTTAAGATACGACGAAACTATATAGTCGTCTTTATCAAAACGTTAATATTCGAGTGTTCCTCTGAGTCTAAGTACGTGGAAATCGTGCCATTGGTTCCCAAAAGTAGAAAAATATTGTGCTCTCCTTTTAGCGCATAAATAATTAAAATTAGAATATAACCATGGTCGTACTTCAAAACTCAACTATAGCATTTTGTCAAAAATGTTATATTACTGATATAGTCATATATTATACAATATATTCAAAAAATTCTGACGCTTAGGCTGATTTAAAACATGGACTGTCAGTGTCTAAAAAATAATATGCATGTATGTATGTAGATCATTTTTAATTGAGATTTTTCATTTACTATGAAGGTCATCTAATACAATGATCATGACGTGAAATAAAATTGAAACAAATCTAAATTTATATGATAATATATGACCAAAAAAACATGTGCTGTCTAATTGTAAGTAAAATTTTGACAAAAAAGTATTTTTTTTAGCAACTTCAAACCAACCTCAAGAAAATTCACAGAAATATCGTCTCAATTTTGATGAAGAACCCGATTACAAACGCCTTATGCAAAGCAATGAAGATATGAGTATGCCAAAAATAAATAAAAATTAGCACAAAAACTATTTTCTTTTATTTTTTTTTCAGTTTTTAAAGATTCGTCACATAAGTTACTATCGAGCACGGTTCGTTACGTCTATCATGATAAACCCCGTGAAATTAAACAAGGATATTTAGTTACTAGTAAGTAAACAACAAAAATGCGTTAATTTTTCTAATTCTTTTAAATCAAATTAGCTGCTACACATAGTACGTATCCAACAACTACTGACAATGAGTATGAAAACAAAATTGAAAGTGAACCGGTACAGCAACCAACAACTGTAAAACGCCACTGTACCTGTGGATGTTGCCAAAAAAGTGAGCAACCACCTGGTAAAACAACGATTTGGGATGAATTAGATTGTAACGATGTTTATAATTATCCAGAAGAAAGTGAAAGAAAAGCAATTAAGAAAAACGGTATGTTGTTGATGTTTTTTTCTTTATCATAGTTAAAGTGGAACATTTGGTCGGTTTTACAATCCATTCTATTTAATTTTGACTTATTTTAGTTTAGTGTTGAGCATTTAATTTATAAAGTACTGTGTGAGTTAAATTGTGATTGTAAAGCCTTCACAAGGTCTAATGTAGGCATATTCAATATAAAAACCTCTACAACATAATCTGATATTATTTTTATTCAGATTGAAGTTGGTATTATTGACATATGACAACTGATAATAAAAGTTAATCGCACCTGCAAAATTAGTATTAATAACTGTTTAAAATCTCAGTTTAGAATCAGTATGAAATCACTACGTCAAATTAAGATTTTTATTTAGTAGTTCTTATCTAGATAACTTGTCAAATAACAAGGACGGTAGAATCTAAAAGAACTTCTAGATTCTTAGGTCTTTTATAATCCAGGAAATGACGTCAGTGTAGAGCCAATACGTCATACCACGTGTCACGCTCATTAGACCTAATAGAACTAGAAACATTCGAGTTTAGTTGTCTTAAGAGACGCACAACTAAACCCGAATGTTTCTAGTTCTAATTTTAGGTTTAGTGTTAGCTCTACTCATGTGTGACGTCACGAACGGGCCGTCGAACTATGCACATGTTCCGGAGATGTAGCAATTCTCTTAGATTCTATCGTTTGGTCAAATTTTCATTACTACCAACCTAAAAAGTGTAACATGACACCATTAAGGTTTTTTTCATTGAATCCCCCTTTGAAAAGATTTTTTTATTTTCTTCAAAACAGTACCATTCAAATTAAAAATGAAAATATTTGTTGACTATTTAAATTAATTTAAATTAAAAATTTAAGATGCGAAACGAAAGAAACGAAAAGCAGACAATTACTTTTAAAAAATTGATTAATTTCTAAATAAATACGAGAATATTGTTTACACATCATAAAAGAAAATTTATAAAATCTGGAATCGTCTCATCCATTTCCCTTTTATTTTTTTGGGTAAGTTTCGTTTAAATAATATACAAATCATCTTTTTATTTCAAATCATTTTTATTCTAGATGCTATTGTTAATATATGAAATCAAAAAGGATTTTTCTATATTTTTAGGATATAAATTGTAAGAAAAATAATAAACATTTTTAATTCCCTCATGTTTTTGTTGTACTACTTTAGAGAAAATGAAAAAATACTTTAAAATAATTATAATATTATTATCATTTAATTAAAAGGTTGTGTTTATGTCAATTTTGATGTTTATCACAATCTAACAAAAATAAAGATAATTATTTTTGTTTGTTTTATTTGGAATGTTTATAGATACGGAAACTGAACAATGTTTTCCAACAATTTCACCAATTGCGCCAAAAATAGTCAAAATTGAACAAGATTTATTTGAAAACATGGAGCCGGAAAAAGAAAAAAAGAAATGCCTATGCGGCAAAAGGAATTGTGCTTTGTATTGTAAAAGCGACGATTACGCCATTTATCTACCAGAAATGTTAGCAAAATTCTTTCCGAGCGTCGGCACGCAAATCACCCCATCAGATCTATTATTAATTAACAGAGTTAAGTCCGACTCTGTGCACAGTGTAAAAGAAGTTATTGAAGAAGAAGAGGATAAAATAGAACTCGTTATACAAAGCTCTGTGAATGTTTACAATCCAGCTGTAGGTAATATTATGCTATCTGAATTATCTCCAACACATTCATTATCAAATATGGAAAAAGTACAACCTAAAGAATCGTCAATCGAAATTCTAAAAATCGATACACCATCTCAAGAAAAAAAAGTGAAAGGTAAAGTTAGAACATCGGTTTCTTCTGATCCTGTCACCGAATACCCGATTCCACCAAGACAGGTGGATTCTAGAAGCGATAATGGTTCGATTCCTACAATCGCACGAAGTGCATCCGGAACATTTGGAAAACAGGAAACAACACCGAAAGAGAAATTACGAGAACAATCGGCGACTTATGACAAAAGAAAATCATCGTTTACGCCAGCAAAATTAAATCAGATGGATGATGAAGATGAGATTCCGATTATTATTCCGGATCGGAAACAACAAGAAGCTTTTAAACAGGAGAAAAGTAATCGTGATAAAGAATTCAATCGCGACGAAAGTAATAGTAGGTATGATGTCGAATTGAAAAGTGATGTAAAATCGGTGATGGATGAAGATGATCTCGGAACGGACGTTGAGAATTTTATGAATCAATTGGATTATAAACCCCCAGTTACTAAAACTAGTAGTTTTGATAAACAACTTAAAAAGGTGAGAAAAAATTATTATCTTTTTTTGATTCATTTTTCACATAATGACATGTATTTCATTATTAATTTTTGTTATTTTGAGGCAATTTAGACAATCTGAAGACGCACGGCTCAATCGAATTTTTCTAATTCTAGGTCTAGTGTTAGTTCTAGTTTTGCACTAGCACTGTCACTAAAACTAACATAACATCTAGAACTAGAATCATTCGGGTTTAGTCGTCTTGAAAGATGTGTGGCTAAATCTGAATATTTCTAGATCTAGGTCTAGTATTAGTTTTAATTGTTATTCAGCGTTAGTGGTATATTTTGATTGGACGAAAAGTAGAACTAACACTATTTCTAAAATTAGAAACATTCGGGTTTAGCCGTGCGTCTCTTAATACGGCCGAAAAACTACCCAATGACTATACTATTAAGCTATGATGCATTTTATGTGGGACAGTCCAAGTGCGAGTTATATGAAATTCCCGGTATAATAACATTGATTATTAAGATTTTCTTGGTTCCAACTTAACTAAAAGTCCATTCTTAGGTCTTAAAATTAACTCCATCATTGGTTTAACTGTTTCTTGAGATTCAATTGCGGTAACTTTGTAATGCTTTAAAATATAGGCGAGTATAGTTTTTTCTTCGAACATTGCAAATTTTTGTCCTTAAACGTTTATTTATATTTTTATTCATCCTAATTAATGTTGTTAACTTACCTATACAATTTCTAGGTCCAGCACTAAAAGGAATATATGCATAAGGGTGTCTATTTTTTATATTCTCAGGTAAAAATCGATCGGGGTCGAATTTTTCCGGATCAGGGTAGATGTTTTTGTCATGATGCGTTATAAAAATTTCCAAATTTATCGTGCAATCAGCGGGGAGTAAATAATTTTCTGCAATAATTAAATTTCCAATTCAGTTGTTTAAGTAGGGCAAAATAAATATAACCTAATTTAACGTCGGTGGTTAATTTTCTGCCTATCACCGGTACACTTGGAAACAATCTTAACGCTTCTTTAACACACCGTTCCAACATTTTTAATTTTCCTAAATCGTTAATGGTTAAAGTTTCACCATCATTAGACTCTTCAAAAACGGTGGTAATTTCCCGAAATACTTCTTCTTGGATATCAGGGTGATTTCCTAATAAAAATAAACTCCAACACGTACCTGCCGTTGTTGTATCATGACCCTAAAAACGTTTACTATTAAACAATAAACGTTACAAGATGTCTTTTAAACCTCAAACATGAAAGTATCCACTTCTTCTCTTAGTTCCATGTCGGTTAAATTAATGGGAGACTCCAATAAAAGATCTAAAAACGCTTTTCGAACTTTCCCACCGATTACATCCGGTTCAGATGAGTTTGATTCGTTTGATTGATCGGTTTTGGATTTAGTAATCAATTTCTCTTTCCGTTCTTTTATTACTTTGGTTGTAAATCCGTGCAAATTTGATAAATATTTCTTGTATCGTTTCCCTTGGTTAGTATTATAATAGATAAAATCAGATTTTAACCATGGTTTCATTAAACGGTCAAAAGTTGCTTTAGTAATACTACAAAAAATAAGAAGTTGTTTCTAATGATTATTTGTTGTGATTAATATTTACTCAGAAACATTTTTTACGTATTCATTTTTTGGATTATTCATTGCGTTAATTTCTACTCCCATGGCGGTTTCTAAAAAAAATTTCGTTAATACACTTTTTATATTTTTCATGGTTATATACCACAAATAATATCCAATGTGCAGTGAGTAATGTATGGATACAAATCAAAAACTTCTTGATTTGCCTTATTTTGTAAATTTCCCACTAATAATTTGCTTTTTTCGACGAAAATTTCCATAAAGTTTTCCAAAATTGTAAAATGAAATGTTGGCGTTATTAATTTTCTATGAGTGAACCATTTTTGCCCTGTTGAAGTTAATAAACCATCCCCTAACCATGGGCGAGCGGTATCATATAGCCACGATTTAGTTATTTGCACGGAATTATTTAAAATTAACTAAAAATATTTGGTTTTTAATTATAATTAAACAACACCTTTTTGTATTACCTCTATATCTTTTGGCTCAAATAAATGAACAACTGGAGTGCTGCCAAGCCAAGTTTTTAAAATAGGACCATATTCTCTTATATCTACTTTCGCTCTTTTAAAAAGCTCTAAAAAAATAAACATAGAAATTGAATTAAATAGCATAACACAACATCACCTTCTCTTGGGAATAAAAGAGGTTTATAGATAGTTCCAAGTATAGGTATTCTTATAGGTCCAGGAATTTTATTAATAATTCTGATTTTTCTATCTCTCGTAATCCATTCGAACATGAAATAAACAATTATGACTATAATAATTGATAATAACGTTTCCTGTAAAGGATACATAATTTTATATGTAAGTTTTTTTAAATTTATTTAAAATATTTGTGTTAAGTTTGTCTAAGTTATTGAAATAAACGTTTAAATCGAACTGATTGCGAGATGAAATTCTATTTATCTTATCTTATTTAATGTAAAATTGTAAATAATAACATGAATGTGATTAGCAACAATGACTTTCAATTTTATACTCGCTCTTTTTGTTTATTTCAATTTCGGTTAATATCTTGAAATAAAACTAAAACTGGCACTAAACCTAGAACTAGAAAGTTTCGGGTTTTCTGTGAATCTGAAAATGCATGGCTACATCTTCAGATTCACAGAAAACACTTTAACAAACTTGTCAAAATCACATACATAATTTGATAATCATTGTACTTTTTATAATTTGTGATACAGTGATGAACAAAACTTTCTTTAATTTCAATTTTTCAATAATATTTATCATTTATTAATTCCCATTTTTGTTAATAGACAATACATGACGGTGAAATGTTCAGACATCCTGAAAATCGCAGGATTGGTTTTGACTCAAATTCCGGTATCGATTTGACTCGAACATCGATTTTGGAAGTGGACCAACCAAAACCGATGAATTATGAAAATACCAAAGAAGAAGATGAAAGCGTAATGATGGAAGACATGAAAGACATTGAGAAGAATGAAAGTAAGGAACAAGAAAAACAGTAACAAATATATATATACATATATATATTAAGATTTTAGTGATGGTGTAAAAAAATTATTGTGTGCAAAATTAAATAATTTCTTAAATTTTAAAAATATCCATTTTGGCCTTTGAGAAACGTGTATTTTCCAGACGCTAAATAGATATACAAACATACTATTTGTAATCTACTAGTAAAAATGATTTTATGAAAGAATAAACAAAAATAAAGAATGAAAATTGAAAATCATTGTGTAAACATGGCATCACATAACACATTCCTATTTCTATTTATACAGTTTTGCGTTACAAGATAAGATAAGTTCAATTTCTTCTCAGTTATTCTTTACTATTTATTTGAAGAAGTTCATTCTGAATAAATATTTTAAAAAAAAATTTAATAATGAATCTTTTACAGGAAGTGTTTTTTACATTTTTTCTAGCTGTGATTGTTTATTTTATTTTTGAATGGATTACAAGAGACAGAGTAAACAAAATTATTAATAAAATTCCAGGACCTATAAGAGTGCCTATAATTGGAACTACTTATAGACTATTTTTATTCCCAAAAGAAGGTAATATTTTAAAAACAATTTTTCTCGAAATCTAAACTTATTTTTTTAGAACTTTTTAAAAGAGCAAAAGTACATCTAAGAAATTATGGCCCTATCATAAGAACTTGGCTCGGTAGTACTCCTGTCGTCCATTTATTAGAACCTAAAGATATCGAGGTACAAAGAAACAAAAGAAAAGTTAATTGATATTAACAAAAAAATATTTTTTAGTTAATTTTGAATAATTCTGTGCAAATAACTAAATCATCGATGTATGACAGCGTCCGTCCATGGTTAGGGGATGGTTTATTAACTTCAACAGGGAAAAAGTGGTTCACTCATAGAAAATTAATAACACCAACGTTTCATTTTACCATTTTGGAGAATTTTATGGAAATTTTCGTCGAAAAGAGCAAATTATTAGTGACAAATTTACAAAATAAAACCTCTACGGAAGTTTTCGATTTATATCCACACATTACAAATTGTACATTAGACATTATTTGTGGTACATAATCAAAAAAATTATAAATATAAATTAAGAACCACTTTATATTACAAATTTCTTTTAGAAACGGCTATGGGAATACAAATTAACGCAATGAGCGACCCAAATAATGAATATGTGAAAAATGTTTCCCAGTAAGTATTAACGCAAATGTTAAAATTTCTCAAAATAATTTCTTTTCTTATTTTGTAGCATTACTAAAGAAACTGTTGATCGTTTAATGAAACCCTGGTTACACCCCGATTTTATCTATTATAAAACCAACCAAGGTAAACGATACAAAAAATATTTATCAAATTTGCACGATTTTACAACCAAAGTAATAAAAGAACGAAAAGAAAAATTGATTACTAAATCCAAAACCGATCAAACAAACGAATCAAACTCATCTGAACCGGATGTAATCGGTGGGAAAGTTCGGAAAGCGTTTTTAGACCTTTTATTGGAGTCTCCCATTAATTTAACCGACATGGAACTAAGAGAAGAAGTGGATACTTTTATGTTTGAGGTTTAAAAGATATCTTGTAACGTTTATTTTTTAATATTTAACGTTTTTAGGGTCATGATACAACAACGGCAGGTATATGTTGGAGTTTATTTTTATTAGGAAATCACCCCGACATCCAAGAAGAAGTGTTTCGGGAAATTACCACCGTTTTTGAAGAGTCTAATGATGGTGAAACTTTAACCATTAATGATTTAGGAAAATTAAAATTGTTGGAACGGTGTGTTAAAGAAGCATTGAGACTATTTCCAAGTGTACCAACAATAGGGAGGAAGTTAACCAATGATGTTAAATTAGGTTATATTTTTAGTTTACTCAGTATATTGTAGACATCCTTAGTTCTTTTGTAAATCTAATTAGCTGTATGGGCTAAACCCGAATGTTTCTAATTCTAGGTCTAGTGTTAGTTCTACTTTTTGTTCATTAAAAATATACCACAATCTAACGCTGAATAACAATTAAAACTAGACCTAAATCTAGAAACGTTCGGATTTAGCCGCACGTCTTTCAAGACGGCTAAACCCGAATGATTCTGGTTCTAGGTCTGATGTTAATTTTAGTGACAGTGCTAGTGCAAAACTAGAACTAATAGATTTAGCCGCCCGTCTCTGAAGACGGCTAAACCCGAATGATTCTAGTTCTAGTATTAGTTCTAGTTTTAATTCAATAAAAATATGCAACACAGTGATATCTAATGCTAAGTAGCGCTACCTAGCACTGTCACTAGAACTAAGATTTGACCTAGAACTAGAAACATTCGGGTTTAGCCGCACATCTCTCAAGACGGGTAAACCGGAATGATTCTAGTTCTAGATCTTGTGTTAATTCTAGTGATAGTGCTAGTGCAAAACTCGAATTAACACAAGACCGAGAACTAGAAACATTCGGATTTAGCCGTACGTCTCTCAAGACGGCTAAAGCCGAATGATTCTAGGTCTTGTGTTAGTTCTAGTGATAGTCCAAAACTAGAACTAACACTAGACCGAGAACTAGAAACATTCGGATTTAGCCGCACGTCTCTCAAGACGGCTAAACCCGAATGATTCTAGTTGTAGGTCTTGTGTTAGTTTTAATGATAGTGCTAGTGCAAAACTAAGACTAACACTAAACCGAGAACTAGAAACATTCGGATTTAGCCTCACGTCTCTCAAGACGGCTAAACCTGAATGATTCTAGTTCTAGGTCTTGTGTTAGTTCTAAAGATAGTACTAGTGCAAAACTAGAACTAACACTAGACCGAGAACTAGAAACATTCGGATTTAGCCGCACGTCTCTCAAGACGGCTAAACCCGAATGATTCTAGTTCTAGGTCTTGTGTTAGTTCTAAAGATAGTGCTAGTGCAAAACTAGAACTAACACTAGACCAAGAACTAGAAAAATTCTGGTCTAAACCCGAAACTTTCTAGTTCTAGGTGTGGAGTTAGTTCTAGTTTTAATTCAATAAAAATATACAACTCAGTGATATTTAATGCTAAGTAGCGCTACCTAGCACTGTCACTAGAACTAACATTTGACGTAGAACTAGAAAGATTGAGGTTTAGCCGTCTTAAGAGACACATAGCTAAACCCGAATGTTTCTAGTTCTAGTTTTAGCTCAATAAAAACATATAACACTCTAACGTTAAATAACAACTAAAACTATAGCTTACACTAGCACTAGAACCATACAGATGTAGCAATCATCTTAGATTCTTTCATTCTTAATCTATTCCAACTTTTTAATTCAAAATTTTATTATTATTTTAGAAAAATACTTACTTCCTGCTGAATGTACTATAAACCTACAGATTTTCTTGGTACATCATGATGAGAAAATCTATCCGCATCCAGAAAAATTTGATCCTGATCGATTTTTACCTGATAATATAAAAAATAGACACCCTTATGCTTATATTCCTTTTAGTGCGGGACCTAGAAATTGTATAGGTAAGTTATTTTAAATTTATAAAATTAATTAAGTTGAATACAAATATTATGAAACATTTAAGGACAAAAATTTGCAATGTATGAAGAAAAAACTATACTCGCCTACATTTTAAAACATTATAAAGTCACCGCCATTGAATCCCAAGAAACAGTTAAACCAATGATGGAATTAATTTTAAGACCTAAAAATGGTCTTTTAGTCAAATTAGAATCAAGAAAATCTTAGATACTATGTAAAAATTTACCATTAATGTGAACAAATCAAAAAATTAAAACAAAGTTATTCTGTTCAAATTCAAAAATTTATTTTTTCAATACAAATCTCTTCAAAATTACTAATTCATTAAAAATTAACAGCATCAAAATTGATAACAATACATAATAATGAAAAACAATTAATTTCACTTAATATTCTTCTCCTTCTCCTTCAGCTTCTCCAGAATCCATTCCAACCTCTTCATAATCCTTTTCGAGGGCAGCCAAATCTTCACGGGCTTCAGAAAATTCTCCTTCTTCCATACCTTCACCAACATACCAATGAACAAAAGCACGTTTAGCATACATCAAATCAAATTTATGATCTAAACGAGCCCAAGCTTCAGCAATAGCCGTCGTGTTTGATAACATGCAAACGGCGCGTTGAACCTTAGCCAAATCTCCACCTGGGACAACCGTTGGTGGTTGATAGTTAATACCAACTTTAAAACCAGTTGGACACCAATCAACGAATTGGATGGTACGTTTAGTCTTGATGGTGGCAATCGCGGCGTTTACATCTTTAGGGACGACATCTCCACGATACAGCATGCAACAAGCCATGTATTTACCATGACGAGGATCGCATTTTACCATTTGGTTGGCAGGTTCAAAACAAGCGTTGGTAATTTCAGCTACGGAAAGTTGTTCATGATAAGCTTTTTCGGCGGAAATAACAGGGGCGTATGTAACGAGAGGGAAATGGATACGAGGATATGGAACCAAGTTAGTTTGGAATTCAGTAAGGTCGACATTGAGGGCACCATCAAAACGTAAGGAGGCGGTGATTGAAGAAACAATTTGGCCAATCAAACGATTTAAGTTGGTGTAAGACGGGCGTTCGATATCCAAATTACGTCTGCAGATGTCATAGATGGCTTCATTATCGACCATAAAAGCACAATCGGAGTGTTCTAAAGTGGTATGGGTGGTTAAAATGGAATTGTATGGCTCAACGACTGCTGTGGAAACCTGTGGAGCTGGGTAGATCGCAAATTCCAGCTTTGATTTCTTTCCATAATCAACAGACAAACGTTCCATGAGCAGGGATGTGAATCCAGAACCAGTTCCACCTCCAAATGAATGGAAAATTAAGAAACCTTGAAGACCAGTACATTGATCAGCCAATTTACGAACCCGGTCTAAAACTATATCGACAATTTCTTTTCCAATCGTATAATGACCCCTAGCATAGTTATTGGCAGCGTCTTCTTTGCCAGTAATAAGTTGTTCTGGATGGAATAGTTGTCTGTATGTTCCAGTTCTTACTTCATCTACAACTGTGGGTTCCAAATCAACAAAAACTGCTCGTGGAACGTGTTTCCCAGCACCAGTCTCGCTGAAGAAAGTGTTAAAACTGTCATCTCCTCCTCCAGCGGCTTTATCACTGGGCATTTGACCATCGGGTTGGATGCCATGCTCAAGGCAGTACAATTCCCAGCAAGAATTACCAATTTGGACGCCCGCTTGGCCAACATGAACTGAGATACATTCACGCTATAATAATAAAAATAGCCACATACAGAAACAAATTTTCTCTAAATAAACGTAAATGATTTCATTTATTTATTGGATTTATCAAATTAATGAAAGTTTCTGTGATCAGAAACAATTAAAGAAGAAATAAGCGTAATATTAAGTTAATGGAAGACTTTAAACGCTTTTTACTATTTGCTAAAATAATGCTCCAAATAATTATTGAATGTGAGAATCTTAAAAGTAGAATTGGAGCAAAAGTAAAATGGAAATCCACGCGGTCATGCTTTTATCTCACGTGGTTTTTATTAATAAGTTAATTATGGATTTTCTTGAATAAAATACATATTACTTTATTTTAAAATACAAATTATTGCCACAAATTTATAAAATAATTTAACCTTATTAAAAGAACATTTAACAGTTAAAGCCGGTAAAATGGCCGACGTGACTCACGTGCTTTTTTTTTCCAAAGCATCCTTCAAATCATTTTATAAAACAAAAGTTTTTGAACGAATTTCATTAATAAAAAAAAATATCTTACCATTTTGCTTTAAAGGTTTTCTTAAAAACGACGAGAATTTAGAATATAACCAGTATTACGGTTAAATCGAAATTCGGCGGACAAAGACCTTCGACAACCAACTGTGCAGATATTTCGGGTGTACCCGTATATATACCTTTAGTGACGTCACGCCAAAATAGTATGCTACGATATGATTGGTTCTTTGTACCGCCGATCTACAGTGGCGGACAAAAATCTACGGACAGCATTGTATTATGAGATTTTGTACAACGTAATAAAATAACAGAAAATAAAAAAATTAGTATTACAGTGTGATTAGAGATACTTACTTATTCACAAAAAAAGAACAAAACACAAATCGCTCAACAACTACATACTAAAAATTCAACAAATAATACAAAAATTATTAAGACAATAATTTAATATTTCAGCTAATATTTCAGTTTCAATAGATTCGGCTAACGCAGATTTCAGTGTTAGCTACTTTTAAACACTACCTCCGCCGTACTTTACAGTTGGTACCAAACTTTTCAACTCCATCGCGGTTTGTCGTGCTATTTAGAGATTTCAACAGACTGGCACCTTCATCAAACGACCTGAAATCGACATACCACAGCAGTTGAGATTAGAAATCGTCTGGAGCAAGTGTAAGTAAGAAGGAGATTTAAAGAAGCGAGGTTGAGATCACAGCGACCATCAACTGGGCCACAGTTGCTTCGAGAACATCGTGTTGCTGGATTACAATTTGCACGAGATCATGTTCAGTGGACCAATGCAGAGTGGCGAAACGCACTGAGAGTTTGCAGAAGAGCGTTATGCTCAGTGCAACTTCTCTGAAAGAGTACAATACCAGGGAGGATCTGTAATGGTTTGGGGAGGTATCTGCTTCGAAGCACGTACGGAGCTTTGCTTTATCAACGGCAATCAAAACGCCGCTCGGTATATTGAAGAAATTTTGGCTGAACACGTGGTTCCTTTCAGCCCATTTATTGGTGACAACTTCCTATTTATGCACGATAATGCACGCTCCCATACAACCCGCATAGTGTCCCAATACCTGAATGATTTGGATATCAGCAGAATAGAATGGCCTGTACGTAGCCCTAATTTAACCCTTCCCCCCAAAAATAGAAACTTAAACAAAAAACAGAACTTATTCAAATTGAGCAATACGTTCAAAAGTTATTGCAGTCATCATTTTAGGCGATGCGTTTTTTATGCCGCTGACAATGAGTGTATTATCTTATTATTATTTATTAGTTCGAAGTCTTCGAACCAGATTCTGAAGAAGGTTGCAACATGGCATCCGAAACGTCAAACTTTACTACGACTCCACCTCATAAAGTAGACAGACTAACAATGGAGAAGGCTGATCGTGAATTCTAGAAGACCCGTGACAGCAAGAAGTTTGAATCTCTGGAACGTCGGATACAAAAGAAGAAATGTAATAGTTTACCAGTAGAAACAATCGTCATCAACAGATCGAGTGTTCCACTAACGAAAGACGAAACCACTGTGCTCACTTCGAACCAGCTTCTGAAGAAGGTTCCAACATGGCATCCCAAACTTTTTCTTAAAGGACGCACGGCAAAACCCGAAAGGGTTTTAATTCTAATTTTAGTTTAATTAAACCGACCGTGAAAGTCTTCGGACTTATATTATCTTATTATGTTTTACAAAAACCTCATAATAGGGCTGTTAAGTATTTTTTTTATAAACTACAGGTCGCAAACTCCAAAGTACGTCACTCAGATTTGAGCGTACGATTAGAGCGTATAAAAATCAATAAAATTCCTGACGAGAGACAATGCTACGAATCTTATGCGCTAGAAGAAAACAGAAGTAGACGGGAGAGAACGTAACGTCTGTGATTTCTTTCTTCTTACTTAAAACGTCATCTGGAGTCGGGGGTGGGGAATTTTAAACTTTTACATTAATTATTGGAAAAATTAAACCTTAAAGGAATTTGGACCTTAAAGGCCCTATTCAATGCTGTATGTAGACTTTTGTCCGTCACTGTACAGCGAAAAGGAAACGTTCAGATATGAATTGAGAGCGCCAACACACTTACAGAGCTTTCCATTCCATATTACTGGAAAATCATTAAGTTTCTAGAAATTACCTATTATTTTCGAATGAAACGTTCATTTTTCAACCTTTAACAGTAATAAACCGATTAATATATGCCTTTTATGATTACTAAGAAGAGTAAATATGATTTTTTTAACATAATGATTGCCATTAAATGAGTATGACATCATGTCCTATTTTTTACGATTACAGAAGGTTGTGGTGGGTTGAAGCAACCTACTCAATAACAACTTTATATGGTTATTCTTTTTTAAGATTTCTCCATACTTACAAGTTAAAGAATTTCGTCTCAAGAAGACTAAAATAACAAATCTAAAAATAACTAAATTCTTCAACCCCCCAACTCAGAGTCTCAGAGGAGGTTCAATTTATTTTAAAACAAGATTATTTTTGACTGAAATTAAACAACACTGCTTTTATGGAAAAAAATCAATACTCTATCACGTTTTAGGGGCGTTCTATGACTCATACCGGTGGAATGACCTTGAACGATCTGATATAACCCCAAAAAATGATTTCTTTTTATGAAATTATTAAATATAGTGATCGAAATGGTCAAATGATTAAGAAAAGAAATTAAATCAGTTTTCTTTTTATAAAGAAATCAGTTGGCGGTAATAATAAGTAGGTTGAGCTCCCAACATAACCTTTTATAGACACCATATATTATGATGTCATTCGAGTTTAAAAATCAATACATATGCGAGAGAAAAAACGAATTTACACGCTATATCTTTCATGGAAAACTATTTTAAGTAAAGGATCATAGTTAACTGTAAAAAAAAATTATATCGTAGTTAACCGGTCATCGACCGCAAATGTTTTAAAACTAATTTCATGTATTAAATTAAAACATAACAAAAAAGATTTTCATACAATTAAATGTTTTATTCTAAAAATGGTTTAATTAACATGATGAATTCATAAATTAAAATTGAATAAAAAAACTTTTCTATTATGGATTTGTTCGTTTCTGTCAGCAGATGGAGAACGTTGCATTTCCGTTATGGATCGATGAGGTAGGGAACCAATGAAATCGCAGCATTTGTCATGACGTGGCCGAGGGTATATATACCAGCCGCGCCCGATCTTGCCGCACAGTTGGTCGTCGAAAGGTCCTAGGAAACCACACTTCGGTCATACCGTAACTGAATCTTTTAATAACCGTTATTTATCCAAGAAAAATTCAACAAAATGGTAAGAAACCCTTTTTATTAACTGTAATTGTTCAATTATTTCACTTTATTGAAAAGAATAATTTAAAATTGTGTTGATTAAAAAAAAAAACATCGTCTCATGTCCGCCATTTTACCGGCGTCTGTAACGGCTAAAAAGTTCGTTAAAAGTTAACTTCGTTTTTTAAACTTTAAATGTGCATTTGATGTTTTATTGTTAATTATTTATTAATAACAAGAAATTTTATAGTAAAATTTAAAAAAAAAATAACTTTTTTTTGGGGCATAGATTTTTGAGGGCGTGGCTTCACTCATTACCATATTAAAAACTTTATTTGCATTATTCTATTAAATTATCGTTTATACTTTAAAACGTTTTTATAAACAAATCAATTAAATAAGTTTTTAATTTTGAATTGTTTCTAATCATCGAAACTTTCATTATCGATTTATTAAATTATTTTAGTCACGCTATTACTCATCAAGCCCACGGCATTAGAGTAACAAAAATTTTTACTAAAAATACTTAATTCAAATATAGTAAGTTCATTTTCTATAGTTTATTTATTACACTTCGAAGAATCAAACCATTCATTATTTCATCCAATGTTCTGGTTCATTACTCGTTGTTGAATTTCGTCCTGTCTCCACCATTTCAATCTGCATCTTGAAGCATATTCCTTATAATTGACGCACTGAGGTTATCCCTAACTCATTTTCAGCAATAATAGGCAGCTTTGGTGCCTTATTAAAGGGGCTTTCAATTCAATTTTGGCAGTTAAAAGTCCTTTCTTAACTTTTAATAGTCATTTCAGTAATTTAACTTCATCATAAGACTCTTATCTCGTTTTTAATAGTTTCTAATTACAAAAATATCCATTAATTTGATAAAGCCAATAATCAATTTTAAAAAGTTCACGAAATTTATAAAATTTTTTATTTTTATCAGTTTAATTCCAGTTTATCTCCAATTTAATTTTATGATATTGTTACACTTAATTGTTTCTTATCACAGGAACTTCCATTAATTTGATAATTCAAATAAATAAATGAAATGATTAATAGATGTATACAGAGAATCAAATTTTTATGTGGTTATTTTTGTTATTATAGCGTGAATGTATCTCAGTTCATGTTGGCCAAGCTGGCGTCCAAATTGGTAACGCTTGCTGGGAGTTGTACTGCCTTGAACATGGTATTCAACCCGATGGGCAAATGCCCAGTGACAAAACCGTTGGGGGAGGCGACGACAGTTTCAACACTTTCTTCAGCGAAACTGGTGCTGGGAAACACGTTCCTCGCGCAGTTTTCGTTGATTTGGAACCCACTGTTGTTGATGAAGTAAGAACTGGAACATACAGACAATTGTTCCACCCAGAACAACTTATCACCGGAAAGGAAGATGCTGCCAATAACTATGCCAGGGGTCATTATACGATTGGAAAAGAAATTGTCGATTTGGTTTTAGACAGGATTCGTAAATTGGCTGATCAATGTACTGGTCTTCAAGGATTCTTGATTTTCCACTCATTTGGAGGTGGAACTGGTTCTGGCTTCACTTCCTTACTCATGGAACGTTTGTCTGTCGATTATGGAAAGAAATCTAAATTGGAATTTGCAATCTACCCAGCTCCCCAGGTTTCCACAGCAGTTGTTGAGCCATACAATTCCATTTTGACCACCCACACCACCTTGGAACATTCCGATTGCGCATTCATGGTCGACAACGAAGCCATCTATGACATCTGCAGACGTAATTTGGATATCGAGCGCCCCACATACACCAACTTGAACCGTTTGATTGGCCAAATTGTTTCCTCCATCACCGCTTCCTTACGTTTCGATGGTGCCCTCAATGTCGACCTTACTGAATTCCAAACTAACTTGGTTCCATATCCTCGTATCCATTTCCCTCTCGTTACATACGCCCCTGTTATTTCCGCTGAAAAAGCTTATCATGAACAACTTTCTGTAGCTGAAATTACCAACGCTTGTTTCGAACCTGCCAACCAAATGGTAAAATGCGATCCTCGTCATGGTAAATACATGGCTTGTTGCATGTTGTATCGTGGAGATGTCGTCCCTAAGGATGTAAACGCCGCGATTGCCACCATCAAAACTAAACGTACCATCCAATTCGTCGATTGGTGTCCAACCGGTTTCAAAGTTGGTATTAACTATCAACCACCAACAGTTGTCCCAGGTGGAGATTTAGCTAAGGTTCAACGCGCCGTCTGCATGTTATCCAACACGACTGCTATTGCTGAAGCTTGGGCCCGTTTGGATCATAAATTCGATTTGATGTACGCTAAACGCGCTTTCGTTCATTGGTACGTTGGTGAAGGTATGGAAGAAGGTGAATTTTCCGAAGCTCGCGAAGATTTAGCCGCTCTTGAAAAGGATTATGAAGAGGTTGGAATGGATTCTGGTGAAGGCGAAGGAGAAGGAGCAGAAGAGTATTAAAAGAAAGGAATTTCCATTTATGCTGTATTTTTTTTGATACTGAATTTTTTTATCTGATTTGTTTTTTTAACAATTTTCTTTTAATATTTGAAAATAAATTCCTGATTATGAACTGAAATATTTTGTTTTCTTTATCAACAACTAGATAAACTGATTGATAGTTTATCTAGATGATAGTCTACCTATCAGATAATGTTTATCTAAAAGGTAACACTAAATTAACCATTCTGATTTATCAAGAGAACTAATTATCTACTAATTTCTACATAATATGTTAATATACAGTTGTGTCAAATGTCTTGAATATAGTCAATAACTTCGCCATTTGAAAAAGGTTTCAAATAAAAAATTCTTTATTAATTGTAGCACATGTTTTGGCGGTGTTTGCTTGTTTAGATTGTTTTTTATTTCGTTGCTATGGCAACCAACATTGTTATTTTAAATGGGATGTATGTTTTTTTTTCTTCAATATTTTGATAGAGGATAAAGCCCTCTATGCGATGAACATATCAAATCATATAGTTGTATAAAAAACTTGTAAAATATATCAATCCCATTTAAAATAACAATATTAGTTGTCATAGCAACGAAACAAAAAACAATCTAAACAAGCAAATATCGCCAAATAATGCGGCACGATTAATAAAGAAACTTACATTTGAAACATTTTTCTTTAAAACCACAAATGCGAAGTTATTGGCTATATTCCAGACATTTGACACACCTGTATATTATATATATTAATAGGATTAGTTTGTGTTTAGCTAATTGAAAAGTGTTCTGTATTTTGCAAATCGCATCCTACCAGAATATCATTCTTCAGGCACCTCGCAATTTGCCCTGTCATACCTAAAACATAAGGAAAGCAGATAAAACCAGCTGGTGTAGTATTTACAGAGTTTTTCTTCTGTTTGCATAGTTTGGTGGGTCCTTGGATATCCCTCATCCTATAGCTGTTCTTTTGCAGTACATCTTTCTTGTAAGAAACTTTCTTCTTTCTTTAAGTTCTCTTTGTCACACAAGAATAAAGCTTGAATCACGGATCTCTTGTCTTGTGGGTGCTGATGGGATGAAACCTGCAGCTACCTATGTCTCTTCTTTCAATACACTCTCAGATCCATGCCCCCACCTATCTTCCTAGTGGAAAAAACATCCAGGATTAGCAACAGTTTAGCAGCTTCCGATTCTATAGTAAATTTAATAATGGAGTATTGTGAGTTTAGATAGAAATTCATGGAGTCGCTCTTTTCCATGGTGCTATTTCACGAAAGTGTCAACCATGTAGAGGGGTTTCCACGGACTCTTCCTCTTTAAACATCTTCATGTAAAACTTGTTGATCAATGGTGTTAAACTGATCCCATTCCTTAATATTAATTGCGTTGCACTTTAAATTTTTATTATGCGTAATTTAATGATTTAATTGAAAGAGATTCTGAGTTCACTAATTATTTATTTAATTTTCTTTACACATACACAGGAATATACATTGCAAATTACAAAAATATGGGATAAAAAAATAACATTACCCTTATCTAGTTATTTAGATATATGCAACTGCATACAAAAGTACATTTTCAAATGAATCGAAAGAGGCAAATTATAATTGGTATTGTGCGTTGTTTCATAACTTCAACTACAATTTCTATGTTGTAAAAGTAAATTTTATGTTTACATCTTTTTGTTTAAACTAAAATATTCGATTTGATAATAAAAGAAGTTGTTTTTTTTTTCTTATCAGTCTTGATTGATATTTTTATTTATTGTTTTATTCTTATTTTACAAATCAAAAAGAATATATATGTTTAGGTACAAACAATAATTATTTACAATATTTATGTTACAATATTTTTAAAATAAAACTAAATTGGCCTAATTGGAATACATAATTATTACTAACAAAAAGCAGCTACGTTTTTCTAGTTTAAATAAATTTAATAATAAAAGTCAGGTACACGTTTTCTACAAAAAGAAAAACCATCACCACCAGAATGATATACGAAATAATTATTATTTTGAGATATATTTTGCACTTCTTAACCATCAGATGACTCCGTTCTTATTTTTTTTTTATTATTTTCGTATTCAATTATTATGAAATATAATGGTTTTATTTTGATTTATATTTTTTGTAACAATAATAAAACATCTTAGTAAATAGTATTCGTTCTATGATCCTATAAATATGATACTTCTAAAACTACCAATAAATTTTTTTTTATTTTTGTGTTTCAATTTTAAATTTTTGTTTAGTCTTGAGCAAAATTAAATTGTGTCTGAAATAAAGAAAAATAAAAACTGGCAGAGATTCGTTAACAAATCAGTCTCTATTTGATATAAAAATTAAATAGGAATTGAAACTAAGTATTAGAATCGACTGAAAAATTAATAAATTTATTTTAAAATCTGTAGGGCGACTTTAAATTGTTAAATTATCGATCCAATTTTTAATACTTGCAAAATTTTGCCCCTCTGGAATTATTTTTATTAAATTCTCCCTGAACTACAAACGTACGAGCTAATTATTAAGATGATTTTTAAATAACAGTTTTATATGTGTAATGAGCAAAAGAATAAACATGTTTCCTAACACCAAAAAAAGTAACAAATGTTTTCTAATAATCTACATCGAGTAAAATCTAATATGCTTTAACAATACGCTAAACTATCTTAAATATATAAAGTCATGTAACATCTGGTATACATATAATGTACAATAAAGTTTCATGGACATTGAAATATAGTTACATTAAAAAAAATTAATGAGATAAAATTAAAATAAACCAAAGATTAGATTTTTTCGAAATCTAGTAGAGTTTCAAAATAATTAATAATAATCTACTACAGTTTTACGTATATTTTGGAAAAATTTGACAAAATATGTTAAAATTTAATTAAATTCAGAAAGATTTATAAACATTTATGCTCAAGTCCAGTAAAAATCAAAAAAATCTCGAATAGTTTAATAAATCTAAACTAAATTACAATAAAATCTAGATCTTTTCAACTTCAAATTGGGAATAAACAGTTTCAAAATAAGAATAAACTATTTCAATTTGAGATAGCTGTGAAATATTAAAAATTGCAAATTTGTGCATTGCACAATAATAACGATGCCCACGCCGAATATTTTTAGACAAACAGAGGCGGATCTCGTCTATCCTCTTAAACCTGGTCCAATGTCTGTCCTTCTTCTGATCTGCATACCTGGAGATATGCATAAGCAGAAATGAAGGCGCTCTGAAGGATGCGAAAGTTTTCTTCAGAGCAGAATGGAACCAACAGCCAATGGGACTAGGGCCAGGAATAAACTATAATAAAACGAGGTACATGACAATTAGCGCAGGAGATAGAGCAAGGGAACAACAATACTTATCGTCAACTTTAGATTCGAGGGGATGACACGATTCACCTACCAAGGGACACTGAAACGGCAGAGGTCGAGTCGCGGAAAAAGTGGCGATCACTGCTACGCCAATAAAAGTCTCAAATGCTCAAAAATCCTCAACAGAAAGACCGGGTTTTGAATATAACCTACGCAGCTGAAACGAAACCACGTTGAGAGTGTTTGAGCGAAAGATACTCCGTAAGATTTTCGGTCCTATACAAGAGGAAGTTGGTAGCTGGAGAATCAGGATGAACCACGAGCTGGATAGCATGAGGGACAAGGATATAGTTTGTTTTATAATAAAGGTACAGTGCCTGCAATAGCTGGGGCATCTACACAGGATGGAGCATGGCAGAGTTGCGAGAGTGCTAACTAAATGAAAACTAACAGAGAAGAGATTTGAACAGATAGAAAGTTAGGCCAAAACGAAAATAGTAACGAAGATTGGAGAACGCTATCAAACACATTAGTGAAAACGACCACTGCTTATTGAAAAAACAGTAAAAAAACTACGTGGTACAAAGTATAGAGCAGCAAACATACATGTTATTACATGTATGTTTGATTTTGTTATCATGTATTACAAGCGCTTAAAACCGCTGTAACCATGATAACTATCCCTTAGATAGTTTATCAGGAGAATAGTAAAAGTGGGCTTAAAGAATATAACATATATAATTAACATATTATATAAATTGTGTATTTGATTTTTGTCTAAGTTGAAATTGTATGTTCCCAATTTGAAGTTGTGCGGTTATTTTGAAAAAAGCATCTAACAATTTTATAAATGAAACTTTAGATGATTTTAGAAAACATGATTATATTAAAGTTCTTTTTCAAAATCATCTAAAAAATCAGCTCGTACTGTGCATTAATAGGTTTTTTCTAACATGCCAGAAAATCGTTCAAAGATTCTAGAAATATGAATTGGTGAGTAATCAGAAATCTTGTGGGGCGATTATGCTTGATATCTATATCAAGACAATTATATGACACTAATTTCTAATTACTCATACAGTGACATGTCTGTCATCTCATTTCTATAATTAATCCAGAATCAGAATTGAAATTTAGACTTTGTAGTCTTTGTTATTAACATATTTAACGTTTATCATATTATTTTCAATTAAAATTCAAATTTATTTATCATTCTTAGATATGTATTATTACCAAAAATTGAGAGAAGTTTGATTCAAATAAATTTGTTTGTGTATAAGGTGGCCTGTTATGTTATAATTTGCTTGGTAAAAAGTGATTTAATGAAATGGTTGAGAAATACGCGTGCACAACATTACTTGTTATGATAAACAACTTTATGAATTGTATTTCTTTTTTGTTTACATATTAAGTAAATTTATTAATTAAATTTTAGAATAGTTTATGAACAGTTTTGTAGCATGTTGGGACAAACCTAATAATATAATCAGCATCGTCCTAATAACTTAAATAGTTTCTGTACCTTATAATTATTCAAAAAGTCTAAAAATATACTTTTTTTCATGTTAGTTACATCGTTGTAACTAATGATATAGCACAGTTTTTCTTATCACATATTGTCTCTTCTTCCATTTTCACAGAGATATTTTCCTTTTTGTTTAGGCTTATCAACAAAAAAAATTTACTTCATTTTTCATGTAGAAACAATTTTTTTCTAAATCTACCAAGGACTTAAAAAAGTAATAATAATAAAAACCTAACA